TTAAAATTTATGTTATACAATAAGTAACGCATTGAGAAATTAAATAAATGTTTAAATATAAAACATATTAAAAATAGAGATATACCTGATGTAGTATTTTTTATAAAAATAATTCTTTGCGTTTTTACTGTAACATATATATGATTTATTTCGAGATTGTACGAGTATTCATGTATACTTCACAAGTGTGGGACGTCAGGTTGAATAACGTACTTAAAAATGGATTCATGTATTCATGAATATTTAATGAATAAGAAGAATACATTAAAAACTAAGTTCAAGCGAGGATAAGTATATTAATTATATGATCCAAAAAAAGTCAAACAGCTTGCTACAGCATGAATAATGGTTGTTTTTATGATAAACTTGATTTTTTCATAAACGTTACTTATAATGTCTTATCGTGTTTTCTTATTTTCATGAAAAAGAATTCCCAGCACATGCAATCTACTTGTAACGTGCAGATTTGTGGCTTTCTAGTTCAAAGTCTCCACACCTGTCACAGTACTGTCAACTGAGATGAACTATTTTTCAATTATTTCATAATTAATGCTTTGCATTTGCATTCATCCATTGATTATCCGGTGATCAAATGTTAACATATATAATTATACTTATATATTTCGTATTCTTGCTCATATTTATTATTTACATTATTATAGTCAAATGCTATAAATATGAGACGTATTCATGTCCAGAGCTCGATATTGATAGTACTTTCAATAAAACTTTACTTACTTTTTATGTATATTAAAAGTTGAATTAAATTGAAAAAATTAAATTGAAAATTTCAAATGAATTCATTTTACCATATTATTATCAAAAAAGGATTATATAAATAACATATCTAATGGGTGGCAATTTCCAACTTCTTATTTCTTAAAGCATTTTTAAGAATTAATTGTTGCAATTATTAAATATATATTAGAATGACCAATCCAATAATATCAATTCATAGCATAAATACAATATATTAATATGAAAATATTATTTACTTTATTATATAAAAATATAGGTTGTATGCAACTGAAGAATGTAAATTACACACTATTACCTCATTTTGATTTATATTTTTCTTCAATATTATTGTATATAATAAACAATATGTAACAAATAATTCAAAATAAATTAAAGAAAATTATTAACTCTGAAGTTATTTATAAGATGTACAGAATAAATATAAAATCATGAGAAATCAGCATTTTTAAACAATACATGATGTCAGTAGTTAGTCACTTAAAAAATATTATTATATCTTTTAAATTAAATATTATATATTTTCAATTAATATTATAGTTCATTGCTATACTTCAAATAATAGTATTTATAAAAAATATGGTTTACTATTTTATATTACAGAATTTCTGTTTTATTGAAATTAATTTATAAATTTAATTGAAAGTAAACAGTTCTTCCAAATATTTGCTTAAAATTAAAATAATTTCATTAATTGCTCAATTAAAAAGGCATATTCTTATTTAAAACTTTTGAAATTTGTTTATTGAAATTAAAAAAAATATATAACAAAATTAAAATATCAGATAGAAACACGCAAAAATTGACAGTTCCAATAATTGGAAGTATATATACTTGTGTATGTTTTTTTTTTATAAACCGTGAAAGCTTCTTTCATGGTTGTAATAATATTACGATCGTGGTGGAAAAACTTATACATTGCGTATAATATAATATAAGAGAGGTATAATATATGTAGGAAATAATGATAATAGATAGGAAAGATTAATCATGTAACTTAGGCTAGCGTGGTAACCAGCAAGAGAGCGGGGGGGGAAGGGCGTTACGCGTGCCTTATTAGCTTACACTAAGATACTGTATGTATTCGTTGCACTATTCTAAGCGTTTACTGCTTCAGTCATGTATTATCACAGTCATCCGCTATATCTATAATATGAATTTTTTCTTGTAGTTCCCAAAATAATTATTTCTAATTGCAAATTTAGCGACTAGATTTTGGAGAGTTAATAATATAAGTTGTCAACTCGAAAAGTATGGTTATAATTGTCTCATTTCTCATACAGCATCTGTGTAACAAATGTTTTGCAAACCTTGAATAAAGTTTTAAATCGTACACAATACAAGTATGAATGTTTATTAAGTACGTTCGGTATATAACTGGAGGTATAAATATTAAATACTTCGAATGTATTGGGAATAGCCTTATCAACTATGATGTGTAGAAGGACATTATGGACACAATGATTATAATAGGGATGTTGTTTAGCACAAGTAAGTGTGCAATTTGGAGTATTATAAAGCAATTTATTTTCATTTAACGTAGTTCATTCGAGGTTTCAACAAATTTCTGTGCTACACCAATCTCTGCAAGTCTTTTCTTTGTTTTTTGATTTCTTATCACGATTATAAGTGATTCACTATGTAGTGACATCATTCTTTGACGAAATGCCTTTACGGGCCTCAATTACGCATTTAAATACCGTGTTTCTTTTAGTTGTTATACATATAGCAACTTAATTACATTACTTCTAAAAATAGATGTACGTATTTAAGACGGTAATTGTTAATAAATTTTGTCTTCTATGGTACTTATATATGACGAAATCATCCAATATATATGTAGTATAATTTAGTGAGTCCAAATTTTGGAAACTGCTTTTATATCAATGAATATTACGAACTTATAACTTATTAATTAAAATAAACTATGAAAATATTTAACTATTATATGTTATTTATATTAATAATTTAATTAAATATATACTAATAATTTAGCAGTTGCAAAAATAGAATGAGTACTAAAAATATGCAAAAATTACGAATTTCTACTTTAAGCTAAAATTTTTGGGTAATTATAAATACAATTTAATGCATTTAAAAAATTTAATAAAAGAATCAGCAAGATTAAATTTAAAAATGATTAATTTTAGATTAAAAGTTTTTCATGTATATGAGTGAAATCTTACGGAATACTTAATAAAAAGAAATTATTTAAATGTACAGTGTAGAAATAAAAATTGAAATTATTTTTATTTAAAGAATATATATATGGCGCTAAATATCTGTTATCAATGATTATAAAATAATATAACTTAATATATTTAAATTGAAAATATATTTTATTTTTTATCAAATATCATTACCTCAGGAATACTACCTTTTTCTTTCAAGAAAATATTAAATTAAAGTTCTCTCGTTTGTAATTATCCTCTTAATAATGGAAATACTATTCACAAGTAATTTTGTACACAAATTATTCTACATACACAAATAGAACATATTTCTTTTTACTATTTTTTTCAAAGTTTATTCTTTATTTATGCAAAGTAATTTTAATTATCCATTTTATATTTTTATAAATATTAAGAGTAAAATTTAAAATTAATATAAATACATAGTGCAATCGTAATTTGCGTAAAATAGTAATAAAAAAGGTAAGTATTTTCTAAATATATTTTGTTATAATTCAGTATTATATATATAACAATTGTTCTTGAATGTGTAATTATGTTTTTGTAATTAATAAATTATTTTATTTATTGTTATAAATTAAAATTGTTAATTGTTATGCAGTAAGATTTACATGAATCTATAAATTAAAGAATTTAAAATATTTATTTAAAATTTAAACTTATTTATTTGAATATATCTTATTTCATTTATTTTATTTATAATGTAGAATCTTTAAAAATTATGAATTTTTAAAGTTCAACTTGGAAGTAGTTTTAACTTTAATCGATAATTAAGAAGGTATTTGTTTAATAAATAGCCGTTGATTTAATCGAATTAAAATACTTATAATCTTAATATACATAAAACATTCTAACTTACGAGTAAATATTATATTTATTTTTAAATAAAAAAAATAGAAACAACTTTCTTTTTAAACATTTAACATTTTATTTTTTAAACTAATGAATTACAATTGTATATGAATTAATAATATTGAATTATATTATCTTTTTAAATATTTATTATATTTTATTAAAAATAAAAAAACTGTAGCACATGACAGAATACTTTAAATTAATTAAAAATATTTTTTTAATAATCTTGAATATTCGTCATTTATAGTTTATCAGAATGATAATTTCAATTTTTAAAATTAATAAGAATAAATTAATACTCAGTTCCGTTTTCACATGTAAAAGAATTGTAATTAAATAAGGATATAAAAACGATCTGATTATTAAATGTAATAAAATCATCAATGTAGTTATATTTATAATGTATAGTAATATATTTAATTATTATATTCTTTTAGAAATTATATCAGAAATTATTTGAGATGGATTATTTATAAAATAAAATATTTTGTTTCAGTTAGGACATAGTTATTTATAATATTATGATTACAAAATTGAGTTATTTTTTATTAAACTTTGTCGAGTACAGTAATCTTTACAATATTGTTTTCAGTTAGTTGTTAAAATATATAAGGAGTAAGAATAATATTAATATAAATACAAAATAATACTTTATATATAGTGAATTTTTAATATATATATAATAAGTACATGTTCAAATATAATTTTATAACCTCAAAATAATAAAATACTTAAACAAATTAAATAAGCCTACAAATACAAATAATTATTTTTGAAACTCCAAACCATCATTTTTTTTTACAAATTTATATATTAATCGAAAAATTATGAATTATAATTTTATAAAAATTAACACTTTAATGCAATTTTTTTAACATATAATAATTTATAAGACATGAAAAAGTATTTTTCTGACATATTTTGACACCTAATTATATGTTGAATCTCATCAAAGAAAGTGTTTAAGCGTGTGAAAAATTTTAAAAAATGTTTAATTTCACAATTTTTAACTGTAATAAAAAATTTTTATCCTAATTATATTTTTTATTGAATTTGTATTTTATACGAAAATTATTATTATAAAATTATAAATGATACTTTTCAAATGTTACTTTAATCTCACTGTTAGAATCTTTAACGATATTTTATTTTATGATTTATTTTGTGATAGAAGCTAATAATAGCTTCTTAAAGTGTATCAGTAACATGTTGACTAATGTAGGGGGTTAATCAACGTGCATCCAATAACATACAATATATAGATTAACTGTAGTTGCCGTCGCCGTCCTTCACTGCTGTCTGGTATAACAGTTCTTTTAAGATTCTCCTTGAATTCTTGCGCTTGTATTCATTTATCGCAATAGGCACAGAACTCAGAAGGGGAAATCTTGTCACGCCTTACTAGCGCTGCTACGTTTTACTGTGATTTGTGATTTACGTTGGTATGCTTATTGCTTACAATGAGCACCCTTACAATAAGTTGCGCTGCGACAGTTCCTTATTGTACTTGCTGTGATTAACATCCAAATAATATCATTGACTTTTATTAACTTAGTAGTTGCATACTACTGTGAAACATTGAATGTAATGGAAATCAAATTCTTAAACCTTCTTGGCAAGTAGAGAATATTAATAATTTTAAATACGTTACGACAGTGTTAAAATGTTGATGAATGATTAGATATAAATTATTTTTTAATAAATATTTTTGGACATTTAAATAATTATTAATTTTGGTTAGGTTAGTTTGTTCTAATACTTGATTTTCTTTTTCATTCATTAAAAAAATTTTATTATAAGTAACCCAGTAACTGGTGATATTTTTTCTATCAGTAGGCATTTTATTAATATATGAATATTTATGTACTTAATATTTATACATAACAATCTTAAATAAAAGCTTTGTTTGAATAACTATAAACCTTCCTTTGTTTTCATTTTGTAAGCTTACTTTATATATACTGTTGTTTGTTTGAAGGCAATGTTATTATTGAGGGATTTTGGAATTTTGCCAATCATTACGTAAGTTTCTTAGGCTTTCAACTATAGAGGAAATATTATGAACAGTAATAATTTGTACATATTTTGGTATTCTTTCTTGTAATATATAATTTTAATAGTAGGTATTAGAAATATATACTAATGAATTCCTTTTATAAAAATAATTTAAAATTTTATCATGTAACAACCTTGTCTTGTTATATCTTTATTTATTTATTTTATATATCAGTTATATAATATCATCAAAATTAAAAATTTATTTGTATTTTATGTAGTATATAAAATTTTTGTTACAGTTTTATGAAAAATAGATACAATTATTCAGCTTATAAGTATATTCAAAGAATAACTTTAAGTAATATTTAAATATGACAAATGTATTAATTCGATTTGATATTATTTAGTGGTTTTTAAAAAATTTTTATTTTTAATACATTCAAATTATTTTACTTGTAATTAATAATTATAATTAAAAATCATGGGACTAATATAAATTTAAACCAAAATTAATTATAGAAGTAAATTACACAAATGATTTTAATGTAAAGCTTGTAGGTAATATTAAAAATTATTATTTTAATATTTTTACAAATATATAAAATAAATATATGAAATACTATTAGACATTATTGGTATAAAACAAAAATACAGATGTAACCTTAAAATAGTTGGAAATTATACTAATACAATTACTTATTTTGAGTAAAATAAATTAAATCTATAAGTTTTTGTATCAAATGAATAACAAATTTATGAATAATAATACAGAAAACTATTTTTACAATATTTTATTTAATTTATATTAATTTTGAGTAACAAATTATTTTCGTTTTGACGTAATATTTGGTGACTTATGTTAAACTTTACAATTAAATGCTTTACATTGTACTTAATAAATATGTTTTATAATTATTGAATTGAAACATTAAATTCATATTACCTATTTCATTTCAAATACCTTGATCTTAATATTAATATAAAATATTTTGAGTTATGTTTAATAATCTGAAAATTAAAGTTTCATAAAGCTGTTAAACTTATTTATATAAATTCTGTTAATATTCTATTTATGCACGATCATCTAAAATAATTGTTTAAAACAAAATAGTTATTTATAAATATTTATATATCAAACCATTTTAATAAATTTGTATGTGAATATATTTAAACATACCCAAATATATATAATTGAATTTTATTTTAGTATATATCAACTTATAATTTCAAAATTGTTTACACTTTGATAAGGATATATATCTTTGGTTGATTATCTATTGCTAATCATATTTTCCAAATATTTAGTACAATGAACTTTAAATTTTTCTACTAAAGCTGTTGCAAGTTGCTCAAAGATTAGATAAAAATAGTATTTGAAATTATTTAGATAAAATAAAATTTATGGAAATATAATTTATGGAATTATATAGATAACATTAGTTAGAAAAAATGGGTCGATTTTTCTATTACTTCAATATAACTATGATATTGAAGTATTTCAAAAATTTTCCATTTAAGGAATTTTAATTTTAGTTCTTAACTTTTTAGCCAAATTTCAGTGAAACAAAACAAAAAATATTTATGAAAAATTTTATTTTAAGGTAAATAGTGAGCAATAATTTTTGCAATGAAATAATTTTTTTTAATTTGATTTTTAATTACTTTTCTATCTTCTATCTTCTATTAAAATTATTAATAATGTGTAAATAAAACTTAAATATTATCTAATAAATTATTAACTTACACGTATTTATGAATTTCAAATGTTTCATTTTATTTGAGAAATTTTTAAGTAAAATGTAATATATGAAGCATTATTAAAACAATTATAATTGCATTACAGTATTAATTGAAAAATGAATACTGAAATTGTAATTTTATTTTAAATCTAACAAAAACACTTATTTTTAATATTTATTCATGAACCAGTTTAAAATAATAATTCAAATTACCGTTTTTCCAATTAATTGAATATTGTTCATATTAAAGGTTAATTTTTAATATAAAGAAAAATTATTTTATCAGGTTTATATTTTTCTTTTATGTAAATCTAAATGTATAAAGTATATTATATATATTAACGTGTACGAATAAATGTGTAACTCTATGAATATAATATAATATCTATAATAAAGCCAGTAGAGAAATTTACAAAATAGTTTTATAATTATAACTATTAAATTTATTATTATTTTAAAAATATAATTATAATTATATATTCTTTTTAGGTAAATAGAAGATTATAATATTAAAAATGGATAGCAAAATTCATATACAGAAACCAAAAAATCCTAGAGAAGGAGCAAATCCACTCAGTGTATTAACTTTTAGGTAATTTACAAGTTATAAAAGTAAATTTAAAAAATATCATTACCATTATTATTGTACCGCTAAAATCAAATTTTTTTCTATGTATATATTATTTATTTAGTGATAAGATAAAAATCTATTTGTTGATGTAATTAATATAAATCTTATATTTTGGAAAATAATTTTTCTTATAATTCAATAATAAAATAATAGAAAATTAAATTGATTCATTAAAATTTTAATTTATTAAGACAATTACTATAATAAAATTGTAAGGAGTAGTAAATTATCTTATCCAACAAGGTACTTCCATGTGTGTAATTATGACACAGCATGAATTTGACTAATACCACTCATGTATGCTATCAACGTAAGAACAAACTCATTTAGATTTACAATTAGTCTTATTTATAGTCACTGTATTTACATAAAATAAGAAACAAATTTATAAAAAGTTATTTAAAATTTAATCAAGTATTAAGATTTAAAATGGCATTTATTTTATTTACTTTGAAAATAAAATTATTTGTTTTTAGTTGGCATACACAATGGTAATATTATAAATATACACAACTTCATTTTTATTAAATACTATAAAAAATAAAAGTCAAAATAATAAAAGGTATATTTATATGCTTTAAGTATACAAGTTTCAATAATTTATTGAATAAATGAAATAAAGATTATAGTATATTATTTTTATTTATTAAAACGAAAAATTCACTTTGTATTTATTATATAAAACTATGTTAATATGACAATATAGAAATTTTAATAACCATTTTTCATTAATTTGTTTATTTTTGTACAAAGAAGGTTTATTATTGTAATATGTTTTCATTATTTTATTAAAATAATATTTTAATAATAATTTATAAATTGCCATTAAAAATATTTAATCTAAATTTAACAAAAAAATTATATTATATAAAATAAGGATAAAATAAAGTAAATTCGATTTTATAAATTAGCCATTTTAATGAAATCAAGTTTTTATTACATTCAATTAACGCGCAATATGCTTATTTCGAAAATTACCATAAAAAGTTTTTGAAATGCTAAAAATATAAAATTTTAAGTTTTAAATAAAATGTTTGTTGTTGTTGTTTTCAGTTATATTCTCCGTTTATTTTGGGTAGGTTATAATAGAGATTTAGATATACAAGATCTTTATGAGCCTCTAAATGAACATACAAGTAATAAACTGGGTGAGAAAATTGCTAAATTATGGGAGGAAGAATGTCAAAGCGTCAATGCAAAGCAGTTATCAAAACAAAAAGGTGACATAAGTATTGATGGGAATGATTCAATTAAAGGTCAACCAAGTCTCCTCCGAGTTCTTTTAAGATGTTTTGGTGCCAAAATAATGCTTTATGGATTATTGTTAGCAGTTATGGAAATTTTGCTTAGGTAATTAAAAGTAGTTTAATAAATAAAAAATTGAACAACTAGTTAATTAATATGAACAAAGTTTTAATATGATCAATGATATAAGCATTCTATCAATATTATATTTTTAAGTACATTCAATTTTGTTATTAAATACAATTGCTTTTATATAATAAATTAATATAAAAAATGTTTAATTCCATAAGTATAATAATTAATATGATAATAAGAATTATAATGAATATAAATAATATTACACAAATTAATTTAAATTTTAGATGTTAAAATTATAAAATTATAAATAATATTTGAAATATTTATTTAAATTATTTATAAGTGCTTATTGAAGAAAAATATACTTTTAAAACATTCACATTTTAAAGAATTCTAAAATTAATATTGAATTAAAAGTTGAAATTAATAAAATTAATAGAAACGAATTCACACTTCATTTTATTACTGGATTATTTTTATATTTATAACAGAATTTAATAAATTATAAAGTTAATTATATATGCAAAATTATACAAATATCTTTTTATTCAATAATGTCTGAAAATTGAGTATAAATAATAAAATATATTTTTATTTACTGTTGTCTTTATAGTATTTATAATTGATTAATACTTCTAGTTAACAATTCCATTAATTAACTACTTTATTATATTTAAGGAAATTACATTAGATATGAACTTATTTTAAAATTCTATACAATTAAACATTTTCTTATTAATGTATAGACTTTTTATTGATACAAGCTTTAATACTATTTACCTCTAAATCAATTATAATATATATAGAATTAAAAATATAATTATATAATAATATATATAATAAAAATAACAATGTATGTATATAATAAGTATTGTAATAATATTTTAATTCAAAGATATTGAAATATTTTAAGATTCTAAATATTAAATACAGGCATCTATTGTAAATATGATCATGAGCATAGAACATGTTTCTGATTCTTTAACAAATCAATATAATAAACTTAAAAGATATGAAGAATTTTCTGTGTTAATAATCTATAGAGTGATACAGTTAGTATTTCTATTTTTTTCTTGGTTACTTTAAAATAAAACACTCTTGTAAACTAATGCTCACAGAATAATATTGTAATCTTCAAAACTATTATAAAATAGAAATCGTTAATACTAAGTAATAAAAAAAATTAAATTTTTATATAATAATGATGCTAGATCATTTTAAGTCGAAAACTTTTACAATTCACTTATAAAATCAATTTAGTAAAAAATCAGTTTTATGAAAAGTAATACTAAACTTTAAATATTCTTTTTTATGAAAGAATTTTGTAATAAAATATAATATAATAATTATAAAATATTTATATGATAAAAATATTAAAAATTTGATATTTCATATAGTTTTGTTATATTTTTAATTTGCTGATTTAATAATGTATTTAACAATTTAATAATGCATTATCTAATTTACAAAACTGTTTATTTAATTGCACAGTTCAATCGTAAGAAAGTTGTTACAACTGTTGTTAATGAAATTTTATATTCTTGTTATTAAATGTAGAAAATATTTAGTAATTTAAACAAATAAAGTAGATGCTATGAGTTAACTTAAATCATCTATTTATTTGAATACATTATAGTTATAAATAAATAAATAAATATATATATATATATATTTATTATCATTATTATTTTTGTACATTTTTCATTTCTTTGATAGTTCAGAAAATTGCATTTCGAAATTATTATTGATAAATAAAAAAAAAATAAAATTAATAAATCGAATTGGTTTTATTAAGTGAACTGTTACAACTCAAGAAGCGGCAGTTCACTCCATCAAATGTGATTAATTTGTCGTCAAACCATTGCTTTTTATTTACTTTTAAATGTGATGCAGATTGATGATACGGTAACTACGCTATTATGGAATTCGACAGGGCAATATAATCATAGCATAGGTGACGTTAATCAACCTTACCTTCCTTCGGATTGCTATAAAAATTGATTCCGTTACTTTGATGAATTAAAAATTTATTCCTAATTATCATTTACATTTGAAACGTATCACTTTATTAGTATTATTATTTTATATTTGTATATATTATATCGACTATTATCATATCAATTATTATCATGAATTGTTTTATGTAGTTGAAAATTGAGAAATGGGGTACCCTAGACACGTCAGTTATAATAATCTTAATTCCATGAAATCTGATATCACGTCATCCCCTCTATGACTATCACGGCTTGATCATGCACTTGCGCAGATATTTACTTAATCTAACCACAACCTCTTAGTCAAATTTATTGCTTTAACTGATGATAAATTATCTCGCCCGTTCTCCATGCTACGTATTGGTAGTTATCAGTAACCGCCATGTTTAATTGTTTTCGTTTTAGTTTCTTATTTGATGTTAATATATACTATGATATAAGCTTCGATGCTTTTTTAATGAGATGTATTATACTTTACTTTCTACCCTACTTTTTTTATTATGTAGTATACTTTACTTTTAATTCTAGTTCTTTTGTTATGAAAGCATTGAAAATTATTATTGTAAATTTTCATGAAGAACTTTGTCATAAAGATACAATAATTATTTTTTATTTTATGACTTATTTGTTCGAATGATTTATTTTATCATAGTAAGTTCTCGATTCTTATCGCTTGTGGTCTTACCCATCTTGGTTTTTCACGCCAAATTGAGTACACATGTATGTGTAAAGTCTGTATTACCTATTATGTCTTGTTTATTTTCTTTGATTTGTATTATATTATTGATGTAATTAAATTATTTGTCATAGCAATCATTTGTGTCAACACTTTGTTTCAAAAAGATAAATGGAAGTTTTTTAAATTTATGACCATAAAGCAGGTATGAACAAATATAAAGATTTTTTACGACATAAATAATTGTAATAAAGTAAATTTGTAGTTACACAATTTTTTAAAACAGAATGTATAATATAAAATACAATATTAAACAATTTTTCTCTAAAATTATTATTATACCACATTCTACAGGCTTCAGGTTTTTGGATATTTTTAACTTTTGGACGTTCGAATAGTATTAATATTTAATACCTTTTAAATAGAAAATGAAAAAAATAGAACAAATTATTTATTATTTTTCACAATTTTGCCAATAAACTTTCACATATATATATAACAACAATCCATTTATTTTCTTTAATTTTGCCATTACGTAAATTTTTTTTCAAATTTATTGTTATTAAATTAGATTATAATTAACACATGTACAATCGTATTTAATTGTCAATATTTTAATATTGCGGTTTTAAAAATAAGCTGTTATTAAAATCAAGGAAGATTCAATAATAATAGTATAAATAAATAATAATGTAAAATAATATTTTACACTACACAGTTTTTTAGCTATATAAAATAAATACCTTTGTAAGTCAGAAAATTTTACGTTAAAAATAATAGTTTTATAATATATTCTAAGTAGGATTGTAATACTAAATTTTTAAATTTGCATAAAAATAATTTTTCGAATGAATTATTTATTTATAGTTGTTCAAATGGATCAGAATTTTTGTTTTTGTTGAAAAAAATGAAAGAATGTTACGATGATGAGATGTCATAACGCAATAAAATATAACAATCAGTTGGTATGTTATTAGCAACTATTTAAATCATAAAATTAAATAAATCATTTAATATATATCTATAAATTTTTTAAAAATATTGTATAAAGTTTATATATACGTCCTTCTATATAAAATTTGATAATTTCTTATTTTATTATTCAATTATTAAATTTTCTTTTAATTTTGTTTAATATATAAAATGTTAACTGGCTCATGTTTTCCAAACTTTGTATAACATTACTAAAAGCTAACATTTCATTATTTAATATATTTAATATTTAATATTTAATAATAATGTAATAACATTATTCAACAAAAATCTGAATTTATTTTTTAAATAATTTCTATTAATTTATGTTTTGTAAAATTTTCCTATAATATTCTCCTCTAATTCTTTACATTTTCATAAATACGTACATAATTTAAATGCAAATTCAAAAGTCAAATATATTTTAAAATAACGTTAAAGATGATTTAACATTTTCATTAATAAAAATAACTACGATAGATTATATGATTTATACATATACAACTCTAACACTAATTTGAATATTTTATATTTTGAAATTTAATGTTTATTCTTTTTAATTTATAAATTTGTTTATTCGTAAAAATTTTTTAATGATATAAACATTCTGAGACATTAGAATATATATATATATATATATATATATATATATATTATAATAGAAGAGTATACATTACTCTTATCTATTATACTCTTGAACTATGTACGCATGCATGCATGAATACATACATGTATATATATACATACATATGTATAGAGTTGTTAAGCTTTAGATACAATTCTCATTATTTTTTTTAATATCGTCGACAGCTTTGTATTTATGGCATTTCTCAGATTAATGGTTGGAAGGAATTAAATTTGATTTCTCATTATTTACTGTATGAATTTTGATATGACAGCATCTTAGATAATGTTCTGCTGACAGTACGTTGATATTTGATACGAGAAAGATATCAAATGTAAATAAAGATAAAAATTATAAATACCTAATTAAATTTTATAAGTTATCATTTTTTATTAATATTTCATTTGTTGCAAGAAGCATTTATTTAATTACAAATAAAATTAAATTTAAAATATTTCAACTGTAATAATATTTTAATATAATTTAATAATTTTTGGTAGAAAAATATTTGTTTTCTAATTCTTATATATTTATATATTGTTAAAATATTAATTTAATAATTTATTATAAATTAATGTAACGCGAATAAGAATAAAAATTTGCTTGGTCGTTTTAGATGAAGATTTTGCCATTTATATTAATTATGTTAGACATAATTTAATTTCAAATTAATATTAAGCACTTGGTTTTATTATGACATTGTTAAAACATTTGTATATATTTATCAAATATATTTTATAAACCATATAATTCTTTTATCGAAAAGTAAAAAAGCTTAATGTAAAATGTAATGGATTGAATTATACATTAAGAATTACTTATAAAATATTGTTTATATAATTTTTATATAATTTTTTTATATATGTATTGGATTTTGATGAATATTTAATAATAAATTCCAATATTAATTTAAGGAATAAATTATACTATTTAAAATATTTATTTTTGTAATTTACAATATAAATGACCGATTAAAATAATTTATACAAGCTTAAAAAATTGTATATTTTATCGATTTTATATTTGCGAATGATAAAAGTTTTTGTACTAAATTACAGAGTTTCACAGCCACTGCTATTAGCGCGTTTATTAAAATACTTCAGCATCCACAATGACAATATGATAAGTCGGGAAGAAGCCTACATATATGCTGGTGGTGTCATTCTCTGTTCAGCGCTTAATATTCTTGTTATTCATCCATACATGATGGCCATTTTACATATGGGAATGAAAATGCGTGTGGCCTGCTGTACTCTTATATACCGTAAATCCTTGAAACTATCACGTACGGCCCTCGGTGAAACAACCATAGGCCAAGCAGTAAATCTTTTGTCGAACGACGTAAATCGCTTTGATATGGCAACGATATTTCTTCATTATTTATGGATAGGACCAGTGGAAACAATAATTATTATGTATGTGATGTTTAACGAAGTGCAGGAATCAGCAATTATCGGTGTGGCTACGTTATTGATGTTCATACCTCTGCAGGGATTTTTGGGAAAAAAATCATCCTCGTTACGATTAAAAACAGCAATCAGAACTGATGAAAGGGTGAGATTAACCAATGAGATAATTTCGGGAATTCAAGCTATTAAAATGTACACATGGGAGAAACCGTTCAGTGCCTTAGTTGCAAAGGCAAGGTTCAATGAAATCAAAGTCATCAGAAGTATGTCATATATTAGGGGTGCTATTATGTCTTTCATCATATTTTCTACGAGATTATCATTGTTCGTTACTATTTTGGCGTATGTGTTATTTGGAAAACACATCAATGCTGAGATTGTTTTCATGCTTACAGCTTATTATAATATTCTACGTACTAATATGACAGTCTTCTTTTCTCAAGGTAAGTAATTAAGTCTTTTAATGGTAGTAGAATAATAGTAATAGTTAATAATGTTAATAGTAATACAATAAAATTTTGTAATAATAATGATAGATCTATAATTTTTTATTCTGATATTTTAATTTTAATTTAATACCTTTTATTTGTTGAATATATAAATAAATTATAAACATTATAACAAACATAAAAAATTATTTAACTATTAATATAGTGTTTTTACAAAATTGATTGTAAAAAATATTAATTTCAAAGATTTATTTAATGTGATAGTATTTTTAAATACATATTTATTTATTTTACCTTTATGTATAAAATTGGAAGATTTTTATAATATCAACATTTATTCAAAGGCACAATTTATAGTTGTAATGTATATTTTTTATTGCAATTAAATTAAAAATGTTAGATAATTGTCTGAGTTTCAATTAAATAGATGTTGTCTATACTATACTGACTAATAGTCAGTATCCATAACATATTTGAATACATGTTTTGTATGTTAGCAATCAGGAACATTAGAATCCTTTTTTCATTTAACAATTGCGCTGGATTAATATCAAGATTTCTTTTAAAAAAAATAGGGCACAATAATTTTATAAGCATTAAAAAGTATTTATGGCAATAATGGTATAATTATAATATTTTATAGTATAATATATAGCACAAAATTATATACAATTTAAAACTTGTAATACATGATACAATGATTATATCTAGAAGTATATTTAAAAATCAGATTTACCAAATATCTAGAACAACGTATTGGTTATACAATTTAAAAATTTTTTTATATATATAATAATTATTAAAATTACCTATTTATAACATTTCAAATAATATGTAAATATTTTCAAGTAATTGATAAGTTAATATAATAGAAAATTTAAATTAACTACACATTAAGGACGTATTTCATAACATATAGATAATTTATTTTAAAATATTTACATTATATGCATTATATTTCAAAAGAATATGTCAATATAAATTGACAAATTTATATTTTAAAAATTTATAAATTTTGTTGGCTAAATATAATAGATATTAAGAATTAATTACATACGATTAAACCTACTATTTAATGTTAAAATTATTTATATTGTTAAATATCATCAAAGCTTTTGTAAATTAATTATATAAGAAAACACAATAGATATAATAGTAATAGATTAAATAAATAAATTCATTGTATGTTTTTTTTATATAAATTAAAATATAAATTTTTTTATAAATCACTTACTTTTTCTTACTATAAAAATACTTTATAAAAACATTAAAAAAATTATTTGTTAATAAAAATAATACTTATTCAAAATTTTAAAAATAAAAAATTTCCAAAATAAAATCGTTTAATTTAAATTTTAAATAAAACTGACATCATTTTTATTTACACATTAAATAACGTGTATTAATTATCTTTATGTATGAATATAAATAAATTATATGTTAAATATTAATATTAAAAATTTTAACTATGCATTTAGTAATATATTTAACAATAAATGTAGTTGATAAAATAATTTAATAGTGAAAAATCAGTATGAAGAGTTTCATCCTATTACAAATAATTAAATAGTCATAAAACAGTGCTTGGACATGAACTTAAATAAGATAGTTTTATTTATGTATAACAGCTAAATATTTTGTATAATAGCAGACGTTCATTGTTTATCAATATTTTCTACATTTCTATAACTCATATTAACTACCCTCAAAGAAACTTTTAATTTTTGTTTGCGAGGAGTTTTTAATTAATATAATTATTCAATGGCAGTTTATTTAACAAATAATTATTATTGTATAGTACGAGATAATTTAATTCATAAACAAACAATGATGATATAATTTTTATATGGTGATAAGTTATATTCAATATAAACATTAAATTAAACATTATAATTATCAATATTTAAATAAAATTATTTTTAATATAAATAAATCTTAATAGAAAACAAAGGAACAAAAATTAAAAAATAAAGATGGATAAGAGTTCGAATTATGGTTAAGTTTTTTTACAGGAATTACCCAAGTCGCAGAGGTAATGGTCTCCATTCGACGCTTACAAAACTTTATGATGTATGAGGAAGTGTCTACGCGTGTAAATAGAAGTATGGTATATCAACAACAGCAAAAGGATAGTTCAACGACACAAAAAAAAGATAATTTTGTAAAAAATGGAAAATCCATCAGCACATGTAATAAAAAGTATGATGATGTGAATAATGTTGAGGAAAATGATGGTACAATCAAATTAGTAGATGCTTCAGCCAAATGGCATGTGTTCGAAAAAGATGATACTCTACATAAGATTAATTTAGATATAAAATCTGGAGAATTAATAGCTATCGTGGGTCAAGTTGGTGCTGGAAAGTCAAGCTTATTAAATGTTATCTTGAACGAGCTGCCTCTCACTTCTGGATCAGTTCAAGTAAATAATTAAGAAAGTTGTTTTTTTAAGTAAAAAATCAAATAAAATTAAAATGAAGAAATAAGATGATTATGAAATTAAAATAATGTTCTTTTGATAAAATTACTTTTAATGAAATAATGAAATTTTATAATTATAAATTTATAAATTTACAAGACAAGTATTTAAAATCTCAAAAATGGTATTTACTATTTAGGGCACTAAAGATTATGTTAATTTGAATTTTATATATTCTTAATGATAAATTTAAAAATTAGTTATTAATAATTGGTTTATAGCTGAACTTAATGTTTGAATATTATGAATATTATTAATGAATGTTTAAATATTATTCTTGACAAGTATTTGTTAACTTGTTTTAATTCAATTGAATACAAGTCAATAAAATTTAATTGTAATTATAAAATGTTATAAATATGAATAATACAAAATATAAATTATAAAATAAAATTATAAAATATTAATATGAAAAATATAAATTATAAAGTATTGAATTTAATAAAAATAAATACATAATTATAGGTCAATAGTCAAATTGCATATGCCAGCCAGGAGCCTTGGCTATTTGTTGGTACAGTGAGACAAAATATATTGTTTGGTAGAAAAATGGATCAGCATAGGTACGAACAAGTCATTAAGGTGTGTCAGTTGAAGAGAGACTTTAGATTACTACCCAACGGTGATAAAACTATTGTTGGTGAACGTGGAATTAGTTTATCTGGTGGACAACGAGCAAGGTAAATGTATATATATATATATATATATATATATATATTTTTTTTTTTTAATACAATTACATTTATTTCAAATAATAATAAATGAAAGTGAAACTTTTAAAGTGTTATTTATATGATATTTATTAGAAATAGTAATGATGATAAATTTTAATATTGGCATACTTATTTTATAACATACTAACAAATTCATGATTATATTATAACGAAAAACCAAAAAATATTGTAGAAGAGCTCGTCTTAATTGTAAATATATATTTTAGTATTTCTGATTTTATATTTTATACATTTATAAATTAATGATAAAACAATTAAATCCATTTTTGATCTTTAACATTGGGCAGTTGAAACTATTTTGATGGTCATCTATGACACATGATTATTTTGACATTATTCTAAACAGTATTTATTTTAAATCTTATAATTTAAAAAGGCAAATTTTAAAAAATTTAAAAAAGGTTATTAATTACAATTCTTTTGCTAAAACCGTTTTCCCTTTGTGTTGTTTATTTTGTTCCGGCTTTATTACGAATTGAATTAATCAGAATAAACGTATATAGCTTAGTTACCATAATTTTATTTATTTGCCTAACAATTTGAATTATGGTTTTATTGATTACAATTGTAATAAACATTTACCTACATTTATATCAATTTTAACAACACAACTGATCACGAGTCCAACAGGAGTTCAACACAAGTGTTTTTGAAAGTCAGTATATCTTATAATATGATTGTATTTTATGGTGTTCGCTAATTCGATTTTATATGAATAAATTAAAGTATAAAACTTTGCTGCTAGAATATTCAACTGTAATATTGATAATTCCGAAATTTCTTGCATGGTAATTTTTTTTCAAAGTTTCTATTCTTAATACTTTTATTTATATCAGAAATACGTTATTTAAACTAATGAGTTACAAAATTAAACCCTTAAGTTATAAAATTAAATGGAAACAATTCATCTATACTACGCAAAGATAGGATATATCTGTATTTTTATATTTTAGTCTATATAGACAGTGCTAGCGGTATTGCAGCCTTGGCTTCTGAAGAATATTCTTTATTCTTTTTGCGCTTTACTCGGATTCACTATAAATGCTTGTTTTTGTTAGAATAATTTCTATTTATCCACCATTTTTTAAAATATCATATTTATAATAGTTTTTGTTTACTTTTATTTTCAGATATTATACATTCATGGGATGAATTGGAATAATTAAGATGTTTATTGTTATCATATTACCGTATATTAAAATATAGTCTAAGGTTTAAAATTACTGTCTGTTTAAATAAAATATTTGTTTATATATAAAACGCGTGTTAATAACTGTGTTATTATACAATAGTAAATTAAAAAAATTTTCTTTTTAAATACAAATATTAATTTTTTTTATTCTTGTTGAATATTTACAAATGTTGATTTGCATGAAATCCAATCTATCTAATATAGTTTTTATTAAACCCATAGAATTAATTTGGCAAGAGCAGTCTACTCTGATACATCGATATATATTTTCGATGATCCGCTTAGTGCAGTGGACGCTCATGTTGGAAAGCATATGTTCGAAGAATGCATCGTTAAATATTTAAAGAAAAGAACCAGAATTTTGGTCACTCATCAATTGCAATTTCTAAGAATTGTTAATAGAATAATCGTTTTAAAGGATGGACAGATTGAGGCTGAAGGGTAAGTATTTTTTTTTAGTGTATTTGGTTTAAATTTAATTTTTATTTTTATTTATAAACTATATTTATTGTATTTCAAATTAGTCTCTATTAAAAAATTAATAGTATTTTAATTTTTAATAAATAGTTTCTTTTAATAAATTTCAATAAAAATTTGAAATATTATTTACAAATTATTGATAAGAAATAAACAACTTGGTCTTAAAATTTTGAAATTTTGAAAACTAATAATAAATGTTATCATTAATAGTTATAAAACATATATCTTGTATGAAATAATACTATAATAGCAATAAAAATGATCAAATCAATGTTTTAGTACGTTTGATGACCTACTGATTCAAGGCATCGATTTTGGACGTTTACTCGAAACTCAACCATTGAAAACATATGAGGAAAGTGGATCAGCACCTCCAAGTCGAGGAACATCCCGTCAAGGTAGCATTACCTCGTTGAGCTCCTTTATGACAAATGAAAATAACTTGTCCTTCGATGATCCAGTGGAAGAAGATGAAATGCGTAGCTCTGGTCATGTTGGAAGTTGGGTTTACAAAGGTTACTTAGGAGCTGGTGTTAATTGTTGTGTTGGCATTATTATATTCATTCTCTTTGTCCTGGCACAATTTTTTGCTAGTGCTGGTGACTTTTTTATCTCTGAGTGGGTTAAAATGGAAGAAAAATCTCCTGTAAGTACCATAAGTATTTCTTTGAAATATATATATATATATTTCAAATATTTATGTATAATCTAAAACTCTTATGTTAAACATGTAAAAAATAATATATTTTACATAAATTTGGAGAAAAATTCATTTTATTTGTTCAGTTGGTCCTCATTTAATGTATATTTTTTGTACACATAACCACTAATATTATACTGTTCAAAAATTTATTTTCTCGAAAATAGTAAAATAGATATCTTAATGTAAATATTTTTGTTTGGTTGGATTTTTAACTTATGAAAAGTGTGTAAAACAAACCATTAAACATTATTTTATGACGGTATTTAGTCATTATAATTATTTCTAATAATAAATTATATTTGATGAATATTTATTTTTATTCATTTAAACTCAATTTATTGAATCTCAATACTTACAAATATAAGTGTAGTAGCTTATTTGCTTAACAACATTATTGTTGTTTATCTAACAACAATATAAAAGGTTATTTTAATTATAAAAAGTTGTATATTTATGTTTTACTTTTCAAAGTTAACAGACATTGACAAATTTTAACATATTCTAAGATTGATTTTAAGGTATATGTAATCATTGATTATGAATAATTTAAAAATTTTTTTGTTTCAATTTTTTCAAAATCAATATTACGCAATTCAAATAACAATTGTAGTTCTATTTATAAATATTTGCCCAAATTTAAAAATTGAATGATCAGTTAATTCCATTTTATTGGCATGATTACATATAAAATTATAATTGTTTAGGAATTATTGAATAAATTATTCTGATTGAAAAAAAAAATTTTACAACCTTAACATAAAATTAAATACAAAAGTTATAAGTATGATTATAAGTTATAATAATTATTTTGATATCAATTTTAATTTAAATATAACAATTTTAATAATAAGTTTTTATTTTACTTCATAAATTATTAAGAAATATTATGAATCATAGTTTTTCTATCCTGTATAAATATCTATTCTAATATAAATTCGGATGTTACAATTAAGAACAAAATAAAAAATTTTTTAAATATTTGTATATTGATAATTAATGTTATACAATGCATTATTAAAAACATTTTTTTATACATTCTAATAAATATATTTCAAAATTATTTGAAAAAATATATGTATAGTTATATATACCTAAACTAGAAAATATGATTTTAAATGTATATTAATAACATTTTCTATATTATTAAATGTGTTTCTTAATTATATTTTTAGTTAACGAAAACATTGTAAAAATTATAATTACTTAAAAAATTAATTTTTAAACAGATTCAATTGTTTTTAATATAATATTAATTTTTCATATAAATTTATTATTATTTATTTAATATTTTTGTTTTATTTGTTAACTTAACAAAATGTAAGTTTCTTTTTTGTTTTTAGAGATATCATGGAGGAAATAGTACTGAAATATTGGACTGGCAAGGCTCTATATCTCGAGAAAATTGTATATATATCTATAGTGCCATAATTATGCTTACAATAGTGATTACTCTCATTCGTTCGTCCGCCTTTTTCGACATGTGCATGCGTGCTTCACAGAAGCTTCACGATAATATGTTCAGTTCAATCAGTCGAGCAACAATGCGTTTTTTTAATACCAATACCTCTGGTCGAATTCTTAATCGATTTTCCAAGGACATGGGTGCGGTGGATGAATTGTTACCGATAGCACTTATTGATTGCTTGCAAATTGGATTAACTTTACTCGGTATCATTATAGTCGTTGCTATTTCCAATCCTTGGTTACTGATACCCACTTTTTTGATTAGTTTTCTCTTTTATTATCTAAGAGTTATTTATATATCAACTGGACGGAGCATTAAACGACTAGAAGGTATAAGTAAGTATTATTCGCAATTTTTATTTTGAATTGTTTTTTATAAATTAGAAGTTGAATTAATTAGATAAAATATAATTAAATACAATAAAATAGATAATACAATTTTATAAATACCATAATTATTTAATAAATTGTATAATATTACTAATAAATTAAAATAACTCTAAATTTAATTTTAAGTTTATATTTCTAAATTCCTAGATAGAATCTTAATTTACACTACAAACGTACTTTTATGTTTATAGAAATTTTACCTTTTTTTAATACTGTAATAAATAATTAAATATACAAATTGTTAATTTTACTTTTATGAATTTATTTTAAAATAAAATAAGTTACAGTCCCAATATTTTTCAATTAAGAATTTTATTTAATATACAATTAGTATGTAATAATATTCCAATAACTATTTAGCTGCTCTAGAGCCATACAAAGAATAAATATCTCACTCTATTTTATTCATTAATTCTTTTCATTTCGACAATTAATAATCGAAAAAAAATTTGTAAATAGGGAAATTAAAAAATTGCAGATCTTGTCGCACAATTCAATATGAAATGAATGATAAAATGAATTAAATTATTAATTCTAATGCTATTGTAGGAAGAGAACATTATTATAGTATTTTTCAAGATAAAATCGTTATATTTTAAATTAATAACGTGAAAATTACATAAATGGTTATTATAAAGTATAATCTTTGTACATTTATATGATTCAAAATATAAATTTTATTTTTATATTACAACTTTAAAGTTTTTATTATTATATTTATTATAAAATAGTAATATTACGATATAAAGTATTACTTAAATTTAAAAATGTAATTGTGACTATAATAGTTAATTATTTTCTTTTTTAATTTTCTTTTTGTTTTATTATTTCTATAAATATTGTTTTGCACTTTATATAATATTTACTTCCTTAATTATATAAAAATGTATAATATTGTAACTATTAAATTTACTTTTAGCTCGATCACCAGTATTCAGTCATCTGAATGCAAGTTTACAAGGATTGGTAACAATTCGGTCATTTAATGCAGATGAAACATTAGTCAAAGAATTCGATCATCATCAAGATCTCCATTCTTCAGCTTGGTTTATTTTTATAGCAACTTCTCGTGCTTTCGGATTTTACTTGGATGTTTTTTGCGTAATCTATATAGCTCTAGTTACGATGAGTTTTTTCTTCTTGGCTGAAGATAATCAACCTGATGGAGGATCCGTGGGCTTAGCAATTACTCAGAGTATAGGTCTTACTGGTATGTTCCAGTGGGGAATGCGACAAAGCGCCGAACTCGAGAATCAAATGACTTCTGTAGAACGAATTTTAGAATATAGGTATTTTTTATTTTTTAAAGATTACATATTATTTAGGTAATATATTATCGTATAACATTATTAAGTATCATTATAGATTAATGTGTTAAGTTTAGATTAATATTAATAGATTAAATTGTTAATTAATAGATTAAAAATAGTATTATATTTGAACAATATTAAATTCTAAAATATATATATATAAGCATTTAAAAATAAAATTAATATATTCAGCATGATTTTATCTTGATTTTTTATCGTTATAACTTACATTAAAATATTTAATTTAAAATATTAAGTTTCTTATCTTATAACTTTCCTTTAAAAAAAAAAAGTTTAAAAACTAACTATACTTTTTAACTCAGAATATGCATATGTGCATTTATGTATGTGAATTTTTCTATACATCTAGATGTCTCTTATAAGAAAGTATAGATTATTTATTTAATTTTAACTCAATATATACATATATGTATTTATGTGTATTAATGTCTCCATACATTTGTAAGTGTCTTGCAAGAAAGTATAAACTATTAAGTTTGTTAAGACTATGAAATATAAAAATAAATAAGATAAGTGTAATAATTAGAAATAGTATAATTATATATAAGTTCAAAGCAGAAAGAAATATTCAAATTCAATTAAAACATTATAAAATTTATAGATAAATTAAAAATATAAATTTTATAAAGAAAATTTTTAATTTATTACAGTAATAACTATTAAAATTCAATAATTAGATTATCAGTAATTGTATTATAAGTAGTATTAAATTTCTAATATAATTAATTTTCTATATTAAATTTCTCTATTAAATGAAAAATCTAATCTATTATTACAAAATATTAGTAATTAACATTTTAGACTATTTTTGTAAAATATATTTCCATTAATTTTATCCAAAGTATTATAAATGTATTAGTTATTGAAATCATTTTGAAATATATGATAATTTTATTTTTTAGCAAACTTTCAAACGAACCGCCATTAGAAAGCAAACCAGAAAAGGCACCACAAGCAGAATGGCCAATGGATGGCAAAATTGAATTCAAGTCTGTCTTTTTACGATACTCACCTGTTGATCCTCCTGTATTAAATAATCTGAACTTTATCATTCATCCTAGAGAAAAAATTGGCATTGTGGGTCGTACTGGTGCTGGAAAATCATCCCTTATACAATCATTATTCAGGTAAGAAATACAACTAAAATAATAAATACAGAAAATTGATATAATTATGTATAGAATTCTTGGAGGTCACAGAATATAAAATGTAATAGCCATCTCTAATTATAGAATCAGTTTAAAATTTTGTTAATTTAATACTGTAAAGTTAAATAACAAAATCAAACATTAAACTAATATTTTATTGTATAAGTACATTAGTGTATAAGTACAAAATAATTTATATTTTAATTTTATACTTTTGTTATTTTTTCAGATTGGCTGAAAATCAGGGTTCGATTGAGATTGATGGAATAAATGTTGATGAAATAGGCTTACATGATCTACGAAAGAAAATTAGCATAATTCCTCAAGAACCATTCTTGTTCTCAGGTAGTTTAAGAAAAAATCTTGATCCATTTGAGAGCTATGAAGACACCATACTTTGGCAAGCTCTTGAAGAAGTAGAACTAAAGGAGATGGGCTTGATGGCTCATGTGAACGAAGGTGGAAGTAATATGAGTGTTGGGCAAAGGCAATTGGTTTGCCTTGCTAGAGCAATTGTAAAAAATAATCCTATTTTAGTGTTAGATGAAGCTACAGCAAATGTTGACCCAAAAACAGATGAACTGATTCAAACAACTATTAGAAAAAAGTTTGAAAACTGCACTGTACTTACAATAGCCCATAGACTTAATACAGTTATGGATAGTGATCGTATTTTAGTTATGGAAGCTGGAATGGTTGTGGTGAGTTTAGATCGTTATTTTAGTTTAAAAAATAAATGTATTTTTGAATTATTGTATTTAGAATAATTATATTTTAAAATTAATATAATTATTATTTTTCTTCAAACTAAATTACAATTAATAGATCAGTAAACTAATTTATTATTTCAAATCGGAATTTCACCATTAAGTAATCGAGATTGTTGAGCTAATTAAATAAAATTGTAACAGTAATGTTAAATACACCCTGTGAATTTATTTCTTTTGTACAATGATCATTGGTGAATTGAGTGAGAAAAGGAAATTCCTCACTACAAAGATCTCAGTATTCCTTCATTTTCTCATTTAATTTACTGAAACCTCATAACAAGAAGGATTTAATACCAAATCGTATTAATAACAAATGTTTAGATTTAATGTCATGTTCAAATTTCTAATCTAATGCAAATACTTTTCTATTTAAAAGGAATATAGCAATCAAAAACTTTTTAATGAAGTGAACAAATGTTGTTTACCCCGTTTAATTATTTTTATAAGTAAAGTTTTATTTGATAATATTTCGTTTTTATAAATATATTAAAATATTAATTTACTGAAAATAAATAAAAATAATAAAAATTTTAAATAATGTTCGCTCGCAAGATATTGTTAAATTTAAAAATATTTTGTTATTTATCTATTTCATATTTATTTATAGGAATTTGATCATCCTCATATTTTATTGCAAAAGGAATCTGGCTACTTGAAAAGTATGGTAAATGAAACTGGACCTGCTATGGCGATATCTCTTATGGGTATTGCTGAAAATGCTTACAAAAAATCTTCTAATAGAAATTTATAACATATAATTTACATTATTTAGTTATGCATCAGTATTTGTTATATTAAAGTTTATATTTGTTAAATTTTTCTATTCTACATTGTGAATGAAAAACATTAGTTAATCATTGTTTAAAAAAGAAGATGAATATTTCTTGTAAAGAAAAAAGTGAATGATAACATGTTATTTGTTAAGTAAATGTTGACATGTTATACGGCACAGTATTAATAAGTAATTAATTTTTATAGATTTTACATACATATAAATATGTATTATGTATATATATATATGTATTTATATATGCTTACATATTGTATGCTTGTACGAATTAATGGAAAGGTGGATGGATGGATGAATATTTCAAGCTTGTATTGCAAAAAACTGTCCTATTAAATACATGGGTTTATAATAAAAATAAGAAAATTATATACAATATTTTATATGCATCTAGATATATATTTGAATACATATGCGTATGAGAAAAAAATATGAAAAATCGGGATATAAAGAGTGAAAGAGAGAGAATTGTAATGCATTTTTGCTATATATATCTCGCCAGAGATTCAACCGTATACCTTTTACAGTAAATTTTTTAAGGCAAGTACTTTCTCCTATATAGCATGCATACAAATACAAATATTCAACAAAATTTGATGGGTTTAAGCAATGTTACTTCAGAAAATCCATGTATTAACATTGAAAAATTCTTCACAATAAGAGATCTTCCTATTAAACTAAGTAAATTTTAATTGCTTTTGTTAACTGTTTCAAATTACTAAAAGCAAATGTATATTTATCCCATGTTAAATGATCTTCTATTGTTATTAATATTTTTTATACTTTTTCTTTTATAATTGTCATTACTATCAAATTGACAGATAATTTTTATGATTGTAATAATTAATATTATATTGTGTGTATATGTGTGTGTGTATATATATAATAGATTACACATGGGAATGAAACAAAATACAAGTGCCTGTAAACTAAATTATAAATACAAATCACTTTAAACTATGTTAAATATTGTAATTATTATTAATTATTGTTAAACCTAAATCCATATAAGTGTACTTTATTTATAATAAAGTACTTTAAATTATATGTACTGTATATTTCTTTATTAATCACACTTGTCAAATAATTTTGTACCTATAAATCATTTTAACGTTTTACTTTATATTTTAAACTTTTGATCATTTTTACATTTATAATAAAAATTTTTAAGTATCTGTAACAGAAATAAGTTTTAATATATTGGATATTACAACTAAAAAATATAGATCACTACATATCAGATTATATAAAAAGACAGGAAACAATATATTTTTAGTGAAAACATGTTAAAACTATAATTCATAAAAGAATTTTTGATAATCCTTATTAATGCTAAAAAATACTGTAATAGTAAGTTGGCAAAAGCTTATTTTCTATTATATTTTTATAAATCATAATAATTACAAATTTTATTTTAATAAAATACAAAAATTTAAGAATTCTAAAATTTTATCTAAAATATGAATTCAACATTTGATACACACTATATATGCATTATTAAAAAACTTTAATAATAAGAAAAATCTTTATGTAGATCATATAAATGTAAATTAATTAGATTAAATGAAAAACTTTAAATCAAATATTTATTAATTATATTTTATGACTTAAAATTGAAATATTACCTATATAAAACTTTATATATTTATAATTTTAAAGTGATATATTATTAAGGATTTGTCAGTTTTGTAAAAAAAAATTGATTTGTAATTAGTGTTTCCAAATAAAATAAATTAATGTGTAAAGCTATCATGTATGAGTCTCAACAATATTTGTGTTCAATTTATATAACCCCCTGTAAATATAGTAAATGAATGCTTTTACTATAAAATAATGTTATTTCCGCACGTTTTTATTATCTAATGACAAAATTGCGATTACGTAATTTTATTTTAGAATTAGTAAATGTCTGATTTTAAAAAGCAGTGGATATTTCTTATTAGAATAGGACGATTTAATAATTTCAGTACTTAAATAAAAGAAATACACAAGTGAATTATGTCTTTTTTAAAATGCATTTTACTTAATGCAGTATAACTATATATTTTGTTGAACTTATTTATTTTCAAGAAATGTAGTACTTTACATGATATGATAACAGTGTTCTGTTATATATAATCATAAGAATTTTATTGTTTTAGATTATGGTATTTTTAATATTTACCTTTCAAATAATCAACTATTTACATTATTGATAATTAATGACTATATAATTATTATCATTATTATTGTAGAATATCATTATAACATCCCAGTTTTGTGAGATCATTGTAAGTAACATCCTTTATTGAGTATAAATTAATAAACTTCTCATATTGAAAGCTGTTGTGCATGAAAGTTATTCGTCCTTTACAAATTATACATATATAATTATGCATATATATACTGATAATATTACTATTTAAAAATAGATAAATAAATATAATGCAATTATTTATTACAAGATAAAAATTCGATTATAATAAATAATAAATTGAAGCATAAATAAAAATATAAATAATTAATATTTAAATAAAAACAAATATATATTTACTATATATATATATATATATATATATATATATATATATTTAGCTATAATGATGAATAATATAATAAATATTTTAAGTATTAATTAATTTTATTTCTATTGACAAGATTTTTTAATGCGTATATTATTTTTTTTATTAATTCAGATGGAATGAATGTTAAAGTGCTTCTTTTTCTACGTTATTAATATTAAATAAATTATAATTATAATGATTTCGATTGATTGATTCAAATCGGAAATTTTCAAATAGACAAGTCAAGGTGTATCTAAAATGTGTAAGGTAACTTTTTTTATCTTATTTTTAGTATTTAATTATAATAAATTTACAAATTATTTCAAGATAATAAACATCATTTGGTAATAAAAATTATCGTTCTATTTAAGTAAGAGAGAAAATCGGTGCTATTCTAATATAAATAATCTAATATAAATATAAACTCTAGCCTATTCTAATATAAATGGAATCATTGTAATTGCGAAACTAATATTTATCTTTGAAATTTCATCTTTAGTCAGATTTTGCCATAAAATGTTTGTAGTTAGAAAGTAAAAAATTAAATTTTTAATTTCCTTTGCTTTTGTTAATATGCACATCTAAAAATGTCTTGTAACTCTAATCAAATATATAATATATATTTTTTATAAATGCTAAATTGGAATTTTACAAATGTAATTAGACGCATTTAAGAAATCTGGCATTAAACACGAGGTTTTTTTACATTACATTTAGAAAGATCTAAATTATTCATTATAAACTATTACAGTGATCTGTATAGTTAGTAATTTATAGTTATAATATCGTATGAAAATGATTTATTTTAAAAATCGAAGAAACTTTTTAATGATGAAATGTTTGTGGAAATAATGATATTTTGATATTGTTAGATATAAATATATATGTAAGTTCTTAAGAGACTTTAATTTTTTATATTCTAGAAAAAAAAATTATTGAAAAATTATTGAAATTATTGAAATAAAATGAAAAAAAAAGATAATCTGCATTTGATAATAATTTTAGTTTTTCATTGCCTAATGAAATAGCTGGTTTATTTTGAATATTTTGAAAACATTATCCTGGAATCATCTGAATCAGTATTAATATATAAATATGCTATTTATTTAGTTGATTTATAAAATTAACAACCTTATTAATGCAAAAATTTAAGAATACTAAATAAAATAATATTGAAATGAGTTGCTAATTACATTGCATTAAATTATATTATTGTATTTTAATATGCATGTATATAAATTAAATATATATAAATGTTTAAATTATTGGATTATTCTACACACAACATATATAATACGATTTAGATAAAGACGAGGATTATTTATAAAAAATATTGTTAATAATAATATTTTTAAAACACTTTTTTTATTTATGTTTACGTATAACTATAATTTCATTCTAAAAAATAGTGTATTTTTAGTATATTGAATTTATAGATTATATAATCAATTACATTTTCATGACATGTTGGTAATTTTTAAATTAATAAATGTAAATTTAATTATTTTCATTTTTCCTTTAAATTTTACTTATTTTTACAAAATGTATTCAATAATTTAAAATATATTAACTATTTAATAAACATAATTAAACAGATGTATTAATATTTCTTAATTTATTTAGTTTTACAATATTTATAAATAGTTTTTATATATTTATTTGCATAATCATGAAAATGTTAATATTGTATTATTTTTAGTATTAATAATTAATATTTAAATCTCGCGCATAAATTGCGTGCTGCCTCGATTCGGAAGGATAGAGAATCAGGATCAATAGTGTGGAATGGAGTTTAGTAGTCAGTGAAAATATAAAAACTGTGCGTATGTAAAATTTTTCACAAGGATTCGTATAAAATGGATTTTAATGTTAAAAAATTAGTCAAAGATGCTGGTGTAGCCCTTAGCAGGGTTGTTCAGGTAATGAAACCTTAATAATATTTTCGGAAAAATAGACTTGTTTTGGTTAATGTGGTTTTACTGAATACCTACTGTTGACCTTTTATTTTTCCATTATTGATCATATTCGTTGCTGTAATAGATTTAGCTTTTTATTTAAACATTGTACTTATTTCTTTTAGCTCACTGAAGAAACTTTAGGAACATCGGAGAAAACAGAGCTTGATGCCCACTTTGAACATTTAGCAGATCGAGCAAATGCAACAAAATCTTGGACAGAAAAAGTTCTACGGAATATGGAAGCTATGTTAACACCAAATCCTGGTAATCTAGTTGTTTTCTTAATAAGCCAAGTATTTATATCATTAACTTTATAGGAAATATTGTTTTATTTTTACCAATATAAATAATTAAACAATCTTTTCTATTATATATTAAATATGTAATTATCTATATAATTTATTAATATAACATTAATGTTATATAAATAATATGTTAGTTAATATATACATAAATGTATATACTATCATCTAAAAATATATATTTAATTTATTATATAATTAAATGAATAATTGAATATTTATTAATTAATAGGAAATAGAATTGAAGATTTCTTTTATGAAAAAATTGATAAAAAGAAACCTAATAGGCTTAGTAATTTAGAATATGTTGGTATAGATATGATTGAAGCTGGTAATGATTTTGGACCAGGGATTGCTTATGGTGAATTGCTTATATTTTTATATATTTAATATTTTAACAAATCAAATATTTGTTATTTGTTTGTTTTTATTTTTGTAGGAAGTGCTTTAATTAAAGTTGGTCATTGCCAACAGAAATTGGGACAAATAGAGAGAGATTTTATTGGAACAGCAGCTAATTGTTATATACAACCATTACGGAAATTTTTAGATGGAGAAATGAAGACAATTAGTAAAGAAATGTCTATTTTGGAAATTAAAAGGTAGATTTAAATTAGATGGTTAATAATATTAGCTAAGATAATATAATTTAAAAAATTTGTACATGTTTTAATAATTTGTATTATATACTGATATTTTAGATTGGATTTGGATTCTTGTAAGAAACGTGTAAGAAAGGCAAGAAGTATGTTAGGTCAACAAAGTGTAAGTTTATTTATAAGTACTGATATTTTAATTTATTTTTATTGTATACATATATATAATCTCAATTCTATGTATATATGAATGAGGAAATGGATGAATGTGTACCTGAGTGTGTGTAAACAAGATATATATGAACATATATTTGTTACCTTAAATAGGAAAGCGGTATTTCTCCTGAAGTAATACTTGATCAGGTACTAGTAAAATTGACCTGTTTAAACATATAGTAGTTATTTTTTAATTTTATAATTTATAAGTTATAAAGCATGAAAGTTTTGTTTGGTTATGAAATTATAAAGTTATATATTAGTTTCATGTTATATGTTATTATTGTTTTTTTTTTATTTGAGTAGAAAATCATTTTAAATTATAACTGATGATATAATGTTATTAATAATTCAGTATACTGACAAAAATGAAAACAAAAAATCAAGTAAATTTTCAGTTATTGTACTTAAAAATATTAAATTTCGATGTTTAAAAAATTGAATAAATTAATTACAAAAATAATTACTACTTGTAATATTATTAATTTTAAATACATAGATAATATATTTATTTTTATCCAATTAAAATAATTGTTATTATACTGAATTTTTAACATAGTTTTTCTTAGGTAATTATTTAAAATTCAAATTTGTCATTTCTACAGTCTTAAATAGAAAATTTTTAAAATAAAAATATAAAATATTTAATTCTATACTTAGGCAGAGAGGGAGCTTAGAGTAGCACAATCAGAATTTGATCGACAAGCAGAAATTACTAAACTATTGTTAGAAGGAGTGTCAAGTTCACAAGCTGGTCATCTTCGTTGTTTACATGAATTTGTAGAGGCTCAAACTCGTCATTATGCACAGTGTCATGCAGCAATGCAAGAATTACAACGAGAACTAGCAGGGTAATTATCTTTTTAATTTGAATAAATATTTATTAAAAATTTTCAAAATTATTTTGTACTACTATCATATTTTACTTGTATTATTTTTAATATAGTTTTCCTACTTTGGAGTGATCCGAGTGAGTAATGTTTTATTGATTAAAAGTGGTGCATTACATACTTATTGATATTTTGTTGATATTTAAATTATGCATTACTCATTCGTGAAAATTCTGTATAAATTTAGTAATTTGACCATGTATTAAAAAATAACGTTATTTATTATAAACATTGTAATATGCATTTACAGTTGTGCTTGTTTTATGGTTTCTTATTGAAAATGGCATTATTAGTATATAAAGAAAACATATTTTAATAGTTAAATAGTTAGGATTAATGATTAATTTTTAAATAATTTTCTAATTATTATTTTATAAGAATATTAGATGATTCTGTTTTGTTATATGAAAAATTTAATGATGAATGAACTGAAATTATTAATTCTTCATTCAATATTGTTGCAATAAATATAAAAAAAAATTACATATATTTATAAATCATTATTTTTAATTTCACATAAAATCTTATAATACATTAATAATTGAAGGACTTTCAAATTTTTATAATATTGTCTTAATTATACTTATACATCGATACTAATTTTTAATTTTATTTATAAATTTTACAAAATTATTATGTTTTATTTTATTTATTTCATATTTTTTGTGTTAAATTAAATTTTCAATTAATTTATTGTTATAAACCCTGCATGGTAGTATTTATCAGTTATAAATAATTAAACTTGTTTGTATAGCCAGTATTACATTATGTAGCTCTACTAATCAACATCAATTTTATATTACATCTAAATATAAATTTTTCAATTTTACTTCTCATATAATACTTTGATTGCTGGCATGCTTGGGGTTACAGGATACATCAACCAAGTCCTGTGCTGCAAGTCAACAGTGACGAAGTGATCAAGCTAACCCCTTCACCCACAATATCCCAAAACTTACCCACTCACCAGTCTTTTATTGGATCTACTTATGTTACTGCTACATTTGACATGAATGTTTCTAAAATCTAGTCTTTTTTCTTAATTAATAAAGTTTAATCACAATATTATTATCACTATTATTAGTGTCTATTTATTATTTTTTATTTTTTATTTTTGTTATTTATGTATTTATTGAAGAATAGTAGTTGTATGTATTTATAAATATGCATACTTATTTATAATTGAGTGGGTATTACAGAGATTAACTGGTAAATAATTGGATTAGAATTATTGTATAAACTATTAAATATTACTTTATATTAAATTAAAATTATTGTAAAAACTATTAAATATTACATTATATTAAACTAAAATTATTGTAAAAACTATTAGATATTACCTAATATTAAATTAAAATTATTGTAAAAAACGAGTAAAAAATTAGAATTTAATTATTCCATTTTGAATAAATTCATTCTTCAAAATTAAAAAAATTTAATTTATTTCCAAAAATCTTTTTAATTTTGTTTAAATATGAATAGACTTTTTTATCTTTTTATATAATATAAAATATTCAAAATACTACATTTTTTATATTAAATTTATGTCAAATATAATCATAACAGTATATTTAATAATTTTATTCAGAATTATTTAAGCTTCAACTAGGATATTTAATATATATTGTTATTTGTATTGTATTATTTTTCTTTAATTCATACAAAGATAGAATTATTTGTAAATTGTATATATGCAGATAATTGTATTCTTAATTACATTATAGATTATATAAAGTTTAACAAAATATTAATAAAATTCTATATAAAGAATAGTAGTTACAGATTGTATTCTTTAATTGTAATTAAATTCTTAATAACCTATAGCTTTTATAGAATTACAGTATACAGAAGAACAAAAATTTAATTTATAATAAAATAATAAAAACATTTATTTTAATTTATTAGCTCTATTGAAAATGTTCAAAATAAAATATTTGTTTACTTTTCCTACACTTTACCAATATTTATCAGTTTTATTTTATGGAATAATTATCTACTTGTGACATTAGTCAATTCATGTAATAGAAGAATAACAATAACAATTTTGGAAACTTCCCTTTTAATCTACTAAACTGTTCTTTATTCTTTCTTTATTTTATTTTAATCCAAATAATTTAACTATAATAATAAAAGTAATTATTTACTAATAATGAATAACTCTTTTGTATTAACTTATCACATCAATGCATGTTGTACATTACGTTTTGTAATAATTTAATAACAACTCTTAAAAATTTTATTATTTAAATTACAGTTATATTTTATTACATCTGTATTTGCATAGTTCCAATAATTAGCTGATTTTTAATCATGAATTTGTGTTTATGCTTTGCAATTTGCAGTCTATTAAAATATGCATTGTTTATCAATCACACAATCATTGAGTATATGTATTTTATTATTTATTTTGTAAATATACCTAATCAATGAAGGTACATCAGAAATTTTAAATTATTTATATATATATATTGGAGACATATATATCTATATTTACCTTTACTTTATAAAGTATGTAAAAATATATTTAAATACCATATAATATACCATAAGATATATTTAAATTATAGAAATTATTTATATAGATATAGAAAATTGTGGTAACAAATGTATTTCAACTTATTTAGCTGCATCATATATCTTCAATTAATTTTTAATATATAAATTAATAAAAGATTACATAAAAATGAAATTGTTTTAACTAAAATTTAACCTCCCAGTGTGTCTGGGAGTTCATTTCATCCTACCACATCAATAAATTCCAATCAGCTCATGGAAAATGGTCAGCAGCAAGCTAGAGTGGTATTCGACTATAAAGCAAAAAATGGAGATGAACTAAGTGTTTTGCAGGATGAGGTAAATAAGTTTGTTATTTGAACAAGATCAACAGTAGAGAAAAGCATGTCAGCAATACATCTATTTTTAAAAGCACGTTTTTTCTAGTTTTTTGTAAACTTCAATAAGGTGTAAATAATATAATTAGCGTTTATTTCCTGTTTAAGGAAATAAAATACTCATCTGTATATTTTGATCTGTTTAATATTTTTTTCATTTGTTTTAAATGTTATTTTTTACATTGTTTTTATATTAAGTTGTAATTTATAGATTTTAAAATTATGTAATAATTGATAATACAGCACTAATTTAATACTTTTAATAACGATTGTATGAGCAAATCATGATCAAGTATGTAGTTTCTTATTAATATTATTAAAGTTTATATTTTTGAAATTCGAAAGTGTAATAGTTTTACAAATAATAAATTTATAAATATTGTATATATGAAAATTCTGTATCAAATAAATAATTTAAAAAATTTAATATAATTTAAACTAATATATTATATATTTATTTTAAATCATTTTTATTAATATAAAAATATTGAAAAATGTAATTATATTTAGAGATATTAAAATTTTAACAAAGCAGTTTTATCAAATTTATTTCATTCTCTATTTTATTTATATTATATTGTTGTATGATTTGAATTTATTGATTATTTGAGCACATAATAAAAGTAATAGAATTGTGAGAATAAAAGTGAATTTATTTCTTCAAATATTTGACCACCAATAATTTTCTGTTAATTATTACAATAATCTGGAATTAATATATAATAGGGAAAAGTTATGCGAAAAGAATATATTATGTCGAATAATCTTTAAGAACAATGTAATTAAACGACATTTTGTGAGAGTATGGATTATTCATTACGTTTCATTAGTTGAATTTTATAAAATGATTATCATTTACTAGTGCATTTCACAATTTATATACATATATCACAAAATTGACTATGTATTTAAATCACGATACTATGAGATAACCAATAGAATGTATTCAGAGATTACATACATATTTTTATTTTTTAATATTATGTTATAAAGTTATAGAATTGTCCTTTGAATTTGTAACTGCTAATAAGAATTTTCGAAATGCATGTTTAAGTTTATGTACACATAAATTGTGTTTACGTACACATACATATTATTGATCATCCAACAATTGAAATATAATTATAGAAATACTATTATAATTTAAATATAATTGATAATGAAATTATCTAATTATATTCCACAAAAATTTAAATAGTAGACTACTCTTAAAGCTCATTTACTTAGTAATTCAGATTTTAACACTGATTTGATTCTTTATACAAGTTTTGTAAAATATATATTTTATCAACTGTTATAGATATTACTCAATAACAATTTTTGGATATATTAATAAATTATAAATATTGTAAAAATTATCTAAATAGTTTTACCATTAGAAGCATATTTGTTTTACAATTTTTATTTATAATAAATTAATTTTATGTTTTAAATAATTAATATTATTATTAATGATTTTGCAATGAAAGGAATAATTATAAAAACAATGAACATCAACTCTATAATAAAATGAAGAATAATCTCTATTCAGATAAAAATTGATTATAATACTATTTAGATAATTCATTAATTTTGTTAACTAAGGTATATTCATTTAAAACAGTTTTTAATTATATGTGTATAAATATATTAGATGATTATAATTTCTTCTTAAATATTTTCACCGTAATACTATTCATTTGTATTCTGTATACACGAAAGATTTTGTTATAATATGTATATTTTAATGTATTCAAGTTTTGCTTTATAGTTGCTATTAGCTATATTACATTATTTTTAGATATTTAATGTCAAAATTATGTAATTACATATAAACATTTTTATTTTATACATGAATATATTTTTATATTTGTACTTTAATAAATATAAATTTTAATGCATTTACAGTAAATTTTTTCTTTTAAATTTTACAATTTTAATAAAATTTGTTTTTAAAGTTACATCTGTTTTTTAGGTCATTCGCATAACTAAAATTCCAGAAGATGATGATTTCATACTAGGTTTTCAAGGCAATCAATGTGGAAGAGTTCCTAAAGCTTTTTTAGAGATCCTTTCATATAAATAACGTTGCTAAATATTATTGTAATAGAAATTATATATTTAAAGTATTAAGCAAATTTAAAATACTTGATTACCAATATATTCTCTTAAGATATGCAAGTATTTTTTAATTTTCAGATTCTAGTCATTTGATATTAGAATTGAATGTACAGTATTATATAATTATTTTTAAAAAATAAGATATTTGATAAATTAAATATTACATCATGCATTAATAGTAGCTGTTATTTTATGTTTCTTCCTTGGACAAAAATATCTGATCTATTCGATAATAAATTGCTTAACTTCTAAATTTATTATCTAATGTAGTAAAAAATTGTAATAAAGTAAACATGTTACTATTTGAAAAATTTTTATTATTTTTTTACAGTAATAAATTATTTTTTTTTAGACACACCAACAGTACGACCTCTTCTTCCTGTTGTTTTTGTATGTTGACCACGTACTCTGAGACCCCAATAATGTCTAAGACCTCTATGAGCACGAATCTTTTTCATACGCTCTAAATCCTCACGTAGCTTAGAGTCTAAATTAGAACTTGTGAGCTGTAATACATCACAATATTAAATAAAATAATTATGAATTTTTAAAAATATATGTAAAATTATATTTATCGAATCAATACAATGTTGCATTTCAAAATTTTTTCTAACTTGTATCAAGTTAGGGAAATGCAGTTATTTTTGCATAATGTACCAGTCAAATTATAAATTAAAAATATAATTAACCGTGTTATTATGCTAACTCAAATATCATTAAAATTGTGTATGAAACAATATCATAATTTCATAAATAACATGAATATATTTTTTTATATTTAGAAATTATATGCGTTTTTAAATAAATATTTAAATAATATTTATTTATCTTAAAAATAAATTATTTTTTAAGATTTTAAAGTTATTTTTAAAAATTTCAAATACTTTATTAAATTATTTAATTATAATTTATATTAATTTCTAATGTAAGAAAAATGTATATATACATAAAAGACATAATGAACTTATTTATCTATTTAAAACACAATAAATTAAATTTTTACTGACATTCACATATTAATAATTTACATTAGATTGTCAAAACAATATCAATAAATCTCTCTAAACTATATATTTTTAAAATCAAATTTTACCTTTTATTTTAACTTTTTATCTTTTGTATTTAAATTTTTAAATTTTAATTACTTATGAACTCAGGATTGCATTAATACTCGTCCAATATAAATAAAAAACATTTTTTTTAATGTTTATATTTATTATTTATTTAAAAATTAATTAATTAGAAATTCTTTAATAATTTCTTTTAATTCATTGGCATAAATAATTAAAATTGATGAAAAATACAAATATATATTATATTTGATATAATATACAAGTTTAGAATATAATTTATGATTATAAGTTTGTACTGAATTCTTATATTGATTAGGTTTTTCAAGTTACACTTTATATTTAAATTAAATAAATTTATATTATAAGTATTATTCCAATATTTTACCTGTGAATATTTTCCATCAACAATATCCTTTTGTCTATTAAGGAACCAATCAGGGATTTTATATTGTCTGGGATTAGCCATAATTGTGACAATTTTTTCGACCTAAAAAATTGTAGGACTCTTATTTACTATCTTTTTAATATTTATCATAGTAAAGATATTTTATTAGCATGTTTTTACCTCTTCTTCTGAACATTCACCAGCACGTTTATCTAAATCAATATCTGCTTTTTTTAAAACAATATTGGCATATCTTCGTCCAACACCCTTGATGGCAGTCATAGCAAACATAACTTTTCTGTTACCATCGATATTCGTGTTTACAACACGAAGAATGTGTTGAAATTTTTCGGGGATAACAAGTGACTAAAATAAATAATAGTTAATAAAACAATATATAACAAAAATGCAATTGATTGAATCTCGTTTTATTTTAATAATTTATAGATTACGTTATCATTACTATGAAACAAAATTTATGTATTAATATTTTTAAAATCTATTGAATTTGTTTTATAACTATTGTAATAATGTATAAACATATAGAATTATAATAATCACTTAACCTATTTTATCGAATTAATAAATAACTAACCTAAAATGTTTGTATTTAAATAATAAAATATTCATTATATTAAAATTCTAAAAAAAATTATATTAACTTGCACTAAATATAATATATTAATTATCAAAGATGGTTTTGTATATTTAAGATTTATAATTCTTACCATTGTAACAAAACGGAATAAATGTGCCTGTATGCTATATTTAAGCAAGGTAGCAGAGACTGTCTTCTTGGTACATGCGCAATAAAGTCTAAGGTTACTAATTTTTAAATAAAATATATGTAATTTCAATATGAAATTTTATAGAATATTTAAACAGATAAAAAAAAAGTTATATTATCCAAAGCGAATTATATCAAATAATTTTTTTATTTAAAATTTTACATTTATTGCATATTTTAATACTACATTTTTTTATTGTTTTCTCGATTAAAATTAAATTAAAATTATATATTAAAATATGTATTTTTTTCTTATTAAATTATTATTTATGATTCAAAAAGATATACTATTTACAATCGCTAAATTTAACCGTCGTATTTTTATACAACAAGTGTTACGTTTAAGAAGTGTGAAATATATATTAAATTAAAAAATTATTTAAACAATCTCTTTATAACCATTCCCAAAAATAAAATTTACATAACAATAATTATGTCCATTATTTATTGTCATTAATCCAATTAATATAGATAAATCGTATTATAATTACATGAATTTTACATATAAATTAATTTTTATTTAAGAACAATTTATTATAAAAAAATGTAACCCATTTTACTTTTATTCTTTAAGCAATAATTACTATAAGAGGAAGGTCATTTCAGTCTCAGTTACAGTAGACATTTAAATGAAACAAATGACAAAGGATTCTGTTAAAAGGATTTGTCATGTGGTTACATGAATGTGTAATTAGTTTACATTATTCTATTAAATAGTGTTGAGGAAGAATGGTCTTTAAATTTAATATACAGTATAAATAATATCATATAATCATTAATTTATATTCGTTAGCTTAATTTATATTTTACAAATCTTTTCATCATACATTTATTATCTTTATTACTATTACAAATATTCAATTTATGTATAATCAAATAGTGTATCAAACTCGACATACTATCATTTTAATCTATTTTCCCATTTAATATTTCATTTTCTTTTATCGACTAAAAACGAGCGCGCATACTATCGCCAATCAGCATAGATTATTAGTACGCAAAATTTTATATCGTTGATTTTGTGCATGAGTATACTTTCTATTTTATTACTTCAATTGTGCATACACAACTAACTTTATAACAAAGCTAACAAGTTCTAGAGGATTTTAATAGAAGTTAATTATGTACATTATTTATTGTCGCATACATTTGCTTATAGTTTTTAACGTATAATTCTAAAACAATTGTTTATACATGTTGAAAAGAAAAATCAAGATTAAATTGAAGACAAAAAGAGAATGTAGATTTCGTTTGGAAAAATAAAGTAATGAGAAAATCAAGACTAGCTCTCTGTCGTCATGTCAGCATCCCTACAAAATAATGTATAACAGCTGTTATATAGAACAAAGTTCTATATTAATATTGGTGGTAACAGTTAGTTTTTAGTTCAAAAGAGGTGCAACACATTTTTAAGATGTCAGTAACCAATGATAAGATTCAGGAATTGAATAGATGTTTCCTTGAATTTATGATGAAGCCTGAAAATGTAGACTCAGCAACTAAGGAAATATTTGAAGATTTACTCGACGAGGTGCTTATGGGCTTTATTTTTGATATTCATCGCATGACTAAAACTGGCAGTTCAGATGTTGAGGAAGGCATACCAGATGATGAATCATATACTATTGTAGGTATGGATAAATACTTTTATAGAAAATATTTATATTCTTTTAGGAACATTTAATTTTAAACATGTATTTTATATGCTTTCTACTGTCTTAAAGGGTTATTTTCTTAATTTGTTTTATTTCAAATTTTTTAATCAATGATATATTTTAATATATAAATAATATATTACAACGTAGTTGTTAATTGTTAGTATTAATTTTAAAATTGTTATATTTTTATAGTTTTATATAAATTTTTCAATATTATGTGAATCCTTTTTTAAAAATTTTTATTATTTATATTATAATAAATATTTAATATTCTTATTAAATTAACAGTAAGATATTTTATTTACTAATTTTCAAATATTCCAAAGTGTATAAATTTATATTAATAATGTATAATGTGTTCGTGAACAATAAGAATTTAGTTTCTTTGTACTATTTTCTTTATAATACAATATCAACTAATGGTTGATATTTGTTCAAATTTACTCTTTTAAAAATTATAAATAATTTCATATGTATTTTGATATTTTTATAAAATATTTTTTTTAACTGTGAAATCAAATATCAAAAATATGCCTTGAAAAAATTAATTTCTAGAAATTCATATATTCTTGCCTATCTTTAAATTTTACAATTTTAATAATAATATTTACTGAAACATTAACAACAAATTATAATTTTTATTGAATTGAGACTGTAATGATATACTTATTTGCATTCTATATTTATTTAAAAAATACACTTTTAAGCTTGGAATTTGTATTATTTTTTGCAGATGGTTTGTAATCTTATATTATTTGCATATGATAAATCATAAATTTATGATAAAAGAAAAAATGTTGAAAAAAATAGTTAATTTTTGTATGTATTAGAAGATTATTCAAAACATTCCATTTGTTAATTAAGTTTATTACTATTCTTCAATGTACATCTAGTATATGTACCAGTTAATATTTTTATTTTACATAAATATCAAATAAAATAAAATCAAATAAGAAAAAAGATAATTTTAATTTATATCGAATGTATTTTTTATAATTTTTTATAATGAGAACGAGATGAAAACAAGTAATGAATATCAATATAAATGTATGATAAGTCAAGGATAAATTAATGTATTATTTACATAGATTTACCCGGTTTGGATGTTTTCGGGCAGCACCCGGTTAAAAAATCCCAAGAGTGTAATTGTCCGAATTGTGAACGAGGCGTAGCTGCTAGTCGTTTCGCTACCCATCTCGAGAAGTGTATGGGTATGGGTCGTAACAGCTCACGCATAGCCTCTCGACGTATAGCTAACAATTCCAAAGATCTTACGAGTTATGGAGGTGTCGTTAGTGATGATGACGATGACGTCGACTGGAGCCTAAATAATGATAAGCGTAAACGGCGCAAGGACCGTAATGGTCTGAAAAAACTTAAACAGCCACGGAATGCTAATCAAAGAAACGGTGCTGAAGCACTTGGTGAACTTGCCTACGGTGTTAATAATGATACTTCACCCTCTAACTATGAAAGCATGTCTCTTGAGGATAAAAGAACACTTCTCCAACAGATTTGTGGTGTTGTTTCCGAGCACACTAAAAAACTTTGCACAAGGTCGATGCGTTGTCCCCAGCACAGCGACGATCAACGCCGAGAAATGCGAGCAAATCTTGAAATTTTAGCAGGTCAAAACAATGGGACTGTTGGTCAAGAGGTAGGGACTGGTCTGCATGTTGATGTTGATGGTTTTGAAGAAGCTGATGGCCAGGGACTTAGAGAATCTTTGACAAGGTGGGATCGGGAAGGCTCATGTCATTCAAGTCCAGCGGATTCGACTTCTACTACTTCCACCTCATCTGTTAGCAGAAAACGTGAAACCAAATCTAAGGGTAAGGGCAAGACTGGCAAGCGTGACAGAAGTTCACCTGTCTCACAACCTGATTAAATTCACTTATTTTTTTCTTAATTATTTTCCTTACCTCTTTCATTTTATTTCTTTTCCTTACTTACCATCTTCCCATTATCTTTTATAGTCCTTTATGCTAAATATAATCTTATGAACCTTGTGTATTTATAATGTAATTTTGTATCATTTTGCGATAATTTAATGTGAATTAAAGAACTTGAAGTTTAAGTTGATTTCTAAAATAAAATACAACTATTATGTACTTTATATAATATTAATCTGACTGAAAACATATTTTACTAAATAATTATTTATTTTTAATTATAAATATTGTACATATATAAACATGAAATATGGATTGAAATTGAAGATTATTATTTTGACAAAGACATTTAATTTAAATATTTTTAAATTGATTGTTACTTTGATTATTCTACGTTTGTCATTATCTTTATTTTTAATTTTAATTTTAATATAGACAAATATATATATATATATATATATATATATATATATAATTGTATATATTAATATATAAATAAAATATATTTAATATCTCGTTAAATTATACATAATGTTAGCGATTTTAGATTAGTATATACTAATGAATTATAATAATGCGATCAATTTTATATTCATGTGAAATTATGCATATATATAATCAATTTTTTAATTTATGAGTTATATAATTGCATACATATAACATTTATTGCATATAATTATTTATGAAAATAAAAACGAAACATACGTTTTCACATTTTTAAAGTAAAAGATTTCAAAAAATGGAATTCTTTCTTATAAACTTTAATTATTATAATTTTAGAGAATAAGTAATCAAGTTGATAAAATAATAATATAATATAACATGTATGTGTATCAATAATATCAATTATATTGTTTGAACCAATAGCTGAACATGTAAGCGAAATTTGTAATGTAATTTTTTTATTACCTTTTTTATTAAACGAACTTAACTTTTAATTCGTGAGCATTTTACGATATAATGGTAAAAGTTCTTATATTTTGGAATCTGACAATTAATATGAAAGTCTGTTTGAACAAAAAGAAACAATTTTTTCATTATTTATTTTCCTTTCTTCTTTCTTATTCGTTCAACAAAATTCTTTAAAAATAGTATTATTAAGTTTTATTTTTATGTGTTCTATTTTTAAATATTTTATTAAAATAACTGAAATGTAAGTTTTTATAAAATAGTCATTGCATATATTTATTATTACAAGAGATTGGAAGTAAAACATTTTAATGTTGTTCATAACGATGCGATATCCATGCTAATTTTTCAATGGTTAGAATAGTTTCTTGTGCTCGTTAATATTTTTGAGAATTTTTTCTTTTTTTTGTGATATAAAGGTTAATATTTTGTTACTGTGATTAAAATGACTATACTTCTTTGAGGTGTAGTTTCCAATAATCCAATAGTTAAATACCAAAAAATCTTGTTCTCGTTCATTTATAAGTCAAATACTTCATACATTTTTGTTTTTGAAATGTGTTAATTATATTTTGCTTCTATAAATGCAATAGTTACTTGATTTAAAAATTAAAGTCAAAATAAATTTATTAATATAATAATATTTTTAATTTGTTAATTAATTATAATTATAAATAATTTATAAAACCTTTATTTGTATTATGTATGGAAAAGAAATTGTTAAAATAAATTATACGAAATGGAAATTCATTGGGTACAAATATTATATGCCTTGGTCAGCACAATTAGTTTCAAGAAACTTTACTCGTTAAATAAAGATTTTTATTTGCAATGAAAAGTGTGGGTTGTAGTTAATTATATTATTTTTAATTCTATTGTATTAGAAATGTACAATATAGCTATAACAAATTGTGTCCATCTGTTAGCATATTGAATTTAATTCATTTTTCCTTTTACATTTTTGTTTTTTAATTTATATCAAAATTCAATTTATATAAATCAGTTAAGAGTTAGATTTACACTATTGTCAATAGTATATAAAAAATGATAATTGTATAATTAATGAAGTAAATGCAACAATCTGTCATTGTTTTATAAAAAAATGTTTAAATTATAAATGTTTTGTTTAATCTTAAATCTTGAAAATATAGGACATTTAAAAGATACGTATAAAAGAAACTTAATAGAAAAATTGTCAAAAAATTCAAAAATTGACAATTAACTTTTTGTATTCTAGAAATCACGCACTTGATGAAAATACACAATTATCGATATTTTTTCGACATTATAAATCAAAGATTTGGTCATATAAATATAGTGAAATCATATGACAAGAAAGTAAAGAATTATCTGAAAATCTTGAATACTAGTAAAAAGAAATGAACAATGAAGAAAAAAGTCAAAGAAAGGCGATTGATAAGCTAAACAGTGAGAATGTTTCAATATCGTTTGGTTCTCTTGTTTGTATAACTAAGCTTATAAGTATGCAATATTAAAATCAGTGAATAAAATGGTAAAAACAAAGAATTTATATATGCAAATTAACAGTTTAGTTTTCATGAAATAAAGTACAGTGCATTTGGTAACTTAACGAATTATTGATGATAAACAATTACTACTTGGTCAAAACAAATAAATATCAATTTGAACCGTCTTAAAAAGTTACAGGTGAGTATTAATATTTTAAAATGAGCAAAACTTTCAATATTTTAATAAATCAAATTTTAATTTAATTTGAGAAATACAGTGGTATGCTGATCTAAAATAATTAGTCTAGAGTATAGGAAATGCAAGACTATTTATTTTGGCGAAACACACTAATCATGCAGTCATGATAAGTATACAACTTTTATTAAATTACTCTACATTTCACAGCCTAAGTACCATAGGAAAGTTGTTGTCTTGTTAAAACATGTTTCAGTATATCATAATTTTCAAATTTTGTTATACACTGCCGTTTAGATTACACAATTTATTTCGAAAAGAGTTTTAAACTATCAAATTAATTTCTTCAATTTAATAGACAATTTTTCTTTGTACTGTTTACAAATATTTTATCCGCAGCTTTCTTTATTTATAATATTTATCAATAGACTATTTAATAACTGTCAGTTGCAATTTTTTTTTTGTTTTTTATTTTTATCTTTAATTTAATTATTACAATAATTATTAATAAACGCTAATAATTAATTTTTTTCATTTACTTGCAAATATTTAATTTTTAACTACTTTAGTGCAAAAATTATTTACAAAGCGGTAAACTCATTAAAAAGGTCTCATTACGAACTAGCTATGTTAAGAAAGTTATAAAATCTAAAAAAAATTACTTTGTTTTTAGTGTCTGTTACCTAATCAAATAAGATTAGCCATCATTGTGTATGTGTGGCAATTAGTGTATTTAAATTATCCTTATCCCTGTATCGAAGATAGAAAATAAAATATAATTGTAGTTTCTACACAGAAATAACTTAAAAGTAATTTCAATTTTTTGTTCAGAGAAAAATTATATATTTTAAATTAAGATAAAAACAATAATTATTTTATAAAACAATTTTTAGTAATTTAATTTTTTTTTTATTATTGAATATTCAAAAATTATTTTTTTTATATTTATATTTTTCTTATCAGAATATATATTATGAATATGTGAGTAAAAATATAATATGTTAATAATATAATGTTTGAATTTATATTGTACTTATTATATCATTTTTAATTTTTAATTCAAATGTTAAGTATTCAATAATTTATAAATTAAATAATTGAATTATTAATATAATTTAAATATAATTGTGATCATTTTTTCAAGTGCATTTATATTATTAATTTTCAGTAAATGCAAATAACATCTAGAAAAACATTAAATAAATATTACATACATGATGTAGATAATAGTAAATTTCTTTAACTTCATTATATAAAATAGTTTAAATCTATCTAACGGTTGGAATTTTCAAAAAGATTAAATAAAATTTAAATAGTTTATTAATTTTAAAATTATCAATTAATATTTTATCATTAAATTAAGTATTGAAAACTATTAAAAATTTGTAAAAATTTTTGAATTTATTAAATTACAAAACATGTTTATATTATATGTAATTATAGAAAATAAGAAGTGTTTAATAAAATACTTTGCATTCACTTTATTGTGAAAATAGAAATATGTGTAATTTAAATCTATAATATAGGCAACATTCTCATATTGATGTTTATTTTATTGAATTCGGATCCATGTAGATAATATTTGTTGGAAAATGATCCATTACAATAAATCTATTCTCACTTGTTTGAATGATATTATCAAGAAAACCAAACCAATAAATAACTAATCCTGGTCCAAATCTATTCCAGTAGCTCAAAAATTGTTCTTTGATATATTTTTTATGTATAATAGGACTACCAAATCGAGCTTTTGATTCTATCCAATTTATAACAAATCCATTTACAGCTATTGGAATTTCCAATTTACAATCTGGTGTCTTGTCATAACCTTTTGTTCGAAGATAGTCTTCATTATAATATGGAATATTCCGTTCATTCAATAATCTTTCTAATTTGAATTCATACTCTTCCCCAACAGAGCTATATTGTAAATATAAAATTGATTATTTTATTAATCTAATAAATGACTTTTATACTCACCTGCTAATTGCATTTGATATTGCCCCATATTGATCATCATATAATACACACTAAAAGATTTTTAATATAAATATTGGAAATTAAAATATGAATGAAATACAATTTTAAGATTGAAAAATAAAATTAATGTTAGTCTTCAATTCTATAAAAACATTCTATAATTTATATTATATCAATTACTAAAAATAATAAATGTGGAAAGTATTTGATATAAACATAATAATAAAATTTATTAAATATGAAAATGTTTTTAAGAATTTTTTTTTTGACTACTACCGAATAAGATTTTCTTTAAGTTTTCATATTACCAAGTAGATTTCATAAGCAAGATCTTTATTTGAAATTAGAGTAGTATCTTTCATCATCTTGCTAATACTTAATTTATCACCTGAAATATTAATCTCAGTAATATTTAATATTATAAAATAAAACATCTAAATATGAATTATCATATACATACTTAAAAAAATAAATATATACTTACACTTATTTGGCATCTTATCAAGAAATATTTCCAATACTTTACGAGCTAATAATGCAGGACAAGTATTAAGTTCTACAGCCATTCTAATTATAATTCCAAGAGGTTCTCCTTTTTTAGCTGCATCTAAGTATCTATAAAATATAATTTTCAATCAATATATAAATTTCAGAAATGAAAAAGTGTTTAATTTTATTAAAAATAAATTTAAGCTTACTCTTCATAATAATCTTTTTCTGTTTCAAAAACTTTGTGATGAGTTCTTTGTGTTCTAAATTGTATTTCTTGGCTCAAAATACTATACAAAGTGTTTGGATGAACACTAGGCATAACAAAATTGTTATTACTACTAATATTATATTTATTTTGTTTAATAACCATTGCACTTTATATTAATTTAAGTAAAATATTTTTGAACAAAAAAAGAATAGTACCTATTGTATTTTGTGATTAACATTTTTGAGCAATCCTTTGACAAGCCTTGAAATTCATTTATCGTTTTTTGTATTTGCTTATATTCTTCAAGTTTCATTATGCACAAATTTTTTATTGAATAAATAAATTTAAACAAATATATAACTCTAACCCCTAAGTCATTTACTCAATAATATTGCATAAATACGTTAAAAATTATTGTAATTATTGATTATAAGATCGAATGTTGTTTGAATATAATTATAAATTAAATTAAAATATTGTACTTAAAGTTTTTTATGTTAATCACATAACACCATTCATATAAAAAAAATATAAATAATATTTAATTTCTCAAATATATATTTTATAAATATCAACTGAAATTTAAACAGATAGTTTAGATAAAGTTTAGACTATCTATTAATAAAAAAATTCGATTATTATTAATAATTGAACTGAGGATTCTTCGCAGGAATCTGAGAAAGTTTTGGATTCTGCGCAGTAATATTTTACGTTGGTTATTTGATCTATTAAATGGTCGTTCCGAATTTGAAAAAATATATTTAACTATTATACATAATCGAATTTTTTAAAATAATTATACCAGAAATTAATTGATTAAAAAATAATCGTGAAGTGAAAATAAGTAAAATAATTATTAATAATTAAATAGATCTGTGCGGATATTATTGAAAACAAATTGTATTTTGTAGATACTTAATCTATCCTATTGCAAACTACTATATATAATAAATTTGAAGAAAAAATTGTTTTTTCCGCGGCTTAATTTAATAAAAGCTGTTCAGAAAAATCTAGCTGCACAACAATGTATAAGCTCCCAGAAAAAATTCGACGCATATTAAACAATAATTATCTGATAATTGCATCTACGTATAATTCGATCTAGTTTCCAAGTTTTGTAATTTTTATTTATAAAAATTGTTTATTATAAGTTATTTTTATTGCACGTCGTTTACAATGACTGTTAGCACAATGGCACATATAAACATAAAATAAAAATATATAATGCATATTCACCAGCAGGCCTGCTATTAATATACATTAATGCATGATGTATTTTAAGAATATATATGCATGCAATTCATAAAAATAATATTTTTCTCCAATAAATTTTCTAATGCATGTTATCTAACATGTGATAAAAAGTCATGTTAGATATCAAATTTTATTATAAAATTAATTATCTATAATTATTCTATTTAATTTTAATTAATTTTAATTCTAATTTAATTTTCATACATAATTAATATAACTTATTTATTTTTAAGAAAACCAATTTGAAAATAAATAAATCATTTTCAAAAGATAAATATCTTAAATAATAAATACACAAGAAATTAAAATTATAGGGGTATATTCATTAAGTAAATTAGAATTTATTGTTATGGAAACTGATTATGAAAAATAAAAAAATTAAAATAACTGAAACTAATAAAATACTTTTATGGCTTTTCAATTTTTTTCTGTTTATCTATTGAATTTAATAAATTGCAGTTTTCTTTGAATTGATTTGTATACCTAATTACTTCATAAGTTATACAAAATTATTAATTCATTTAAAATTCTGATAAAAAGGACTCAATTTGTATGTACATTTTAAAAAAATTACGAGCACGATTAACTATTTTATATGATAAAAATACGCTTTATATAGAATATATTAAAAACTTTAAGTATCTACACATTTGAACAGATTTTAATTAATATATAATATTTATGAAGTTAATAATTTCTTAACTTATTATAATTTCAAAGGATGTACTTTAAAATAAACATTTTTTAATATAATTGATTGTGAACTTTTATAAGTAACATTTGATTTCAATGAAGGTCTTAAATTATAATGCAAATAGACACCGATTTAAAAAAGAATTCATTTGATACAGTATATTTGGTAAGTCATATATTTAAGAGAATAGACATCATATACCATAAAAACTTTGTATGTCTAAAATTGTAATTGCTATTTTACTGAGTTTAGTCTTGGAGTTTAAAAGTAAAATTTTGTTTATAATCATATTTATGAAACCTTTCATTACTTATACCCACATCTAATCTACAGGTTTTATTAATAAAAAATAGTTTAAAATGGAATAAATTCTTTTTTATTATAAAATATTTTTAATTGAACGTATCATACCATAAAATCAAATAAATATTTATCTAATAAATTATATAAATGATCTAATTAATTTAATATGCTTAAATATTAAATAAATATTATTCTTTGAGGATTGTTAAAGACAATGAATAGAAATAAATTAATATTTAATTCTAATCATAATATTTAGTGCGACACTCATGTAATTGAGGGTAACAGGTATTAATAACTTCTCAAATTTTTATTTATGTTGAGTGATTGGGCATGAATATCTTCGTTGAAGCGTAAAAGATAAGCGAAGAGACACGTTCAACTAAACGATCGGAACTTTGCAAAAAAAGGCTTTCCGAAGCCTAGTTTTCAGAAGGAATTGCGATTGACTTAGTTTTGCCTAAAGACATTAAACGAGGATATTCACTTCACTAGTTCTGTTTCCTTTAGCTGTATCAAGAGGTCTTCTTAATTGTTTTTCAAATTTTATTAAAATTATTTATTTAAACTCTTTACTTTTTACCTCTTAACAAAACCTATAACATACACAATTTAATCCTTTTTCTCGTTATGCAAATAATGAATAAGTCTTCTTACTTAGTTATAATAAAGTAAATGATTCAACTGCAATATAAGTAAGGTGTATTTTGAAAAAATATTAAATTTATGTAATGAATATTATATTTATGTGATATAATACATTTTATTAACATAATATTAACCGATTAATCTCGCTTGCCTTAATAGTAATATTGTGATTTAATTCTATTCAGTATTTAATTTTTAAAAACTCACTCGTTGAATGTAATAAAAATTGTTTTTATTTATATTATATTTAATACACCATTGATTTAAATTTAGCAATGTTAAATATAACACCTGTGGTAACACATGTTATTAAATAACATCTTTAATTAAAATATAATAACTCAATAGCACACAATTCCATAAAAAATATATTGTTTCTTTATTTTTCGAAATAATGTTTTTCTTCTATCTTCATAAATTCTATAAATATAATTTTTTAATAATTGGTTCGTGATGTTCGGTGGTAGTATATTTTGCTGACTGGTTCAAAACACATTTACACATTTTCTGTTTCGCTGACCAACTGGCTTTAGATAAATGTGTGTGTACGCATACATATATACTACTCACATACTATCTCGTACATAACTCCCACTTTTTTGTTAAACGTTTCAACTCATGTCGATGCAACGATGCCTCAGAGTTCTGACAAGATTTTCTTCCTTTTTAGTTTATCGTATATATATTATTTTTTACACTATATTAGATACAGTATATATATATATATATATATATGCATATATATTTAAAAACATAAAAATAATTATTAAATTCTAATTATTAAAATATTCTAATTGAAAGTGAATCAACGGGTGTACGTAAATTTTATATAAATTTTGTAAATATTTAAAAGAAGTTGCGTATCAATATTACAATTCGAACACAAATTAACATAAAAAATATTTGTATTTTATTTGTTTTGTGAACGGATAAGAGAGTAATAACAAAGAAAACAGAAGCTAAAGCTAACTAATAATTCGTAGAATTGCAATAACATATGAAAGTAAATTTAAGTATTATAAACATGTTTATCTTATATTCGATTTTATTTAATTAGCAAGCTTCAAACGATCGGTTAAGTAATTAATTGAGACGTATTAAATACATCTGTTTTGTACTTTCATTTTTCTATGAACAATTTATTCCAATTTATCAGTGTTGTTTGAATTTTGTTCGAGGTGTGCCCATGCTCATTCCACTGTTATCGAGGTTTTTTTTTTGACGCTAATATATATTCTCTCTTTTTTCTTTAATAATTTGTGAGGACATCTGTATTTATATTAATCTAAATATTTTTCATCTCCTGTTAATAGTATTTTACTTATTTACTTTTTCTTTCCTTCATTTTCGTCGACATCATAGTGAAGATATATTGCTTGACCGATTCAGACTTTGCAGATGCACTAGTTCTTAGACCTTTGATCTCAACACAGTTCTACAGCATTGGCGTTTTTTTGTTATTTCCATTTAAATAAAAAATTCACTGTATGCTTACTTATTGATGCCATCAGTTTTTTCAGTTCTTTAATTACACAGTTATTGTACACTCGAGAAAAGCGTTAAATTTGACAATTTAAATACATATTTTACAATTCTAAAGGAACCCTAATTTTATGAATTGAATGATATAAATATTATTATGTCCTATTTCTATTAGTTTGCATTATAACATTATATTATGTAATTTTTATCGCATAATTTTTATTAGTTTTTATAAAATATATAGATCGTATTTAGTTTTCTATTAAATATACATCATATTTAGATTTCAGAAATATACCAATTTTAGAATTGGTATGTTAAATATAGTTTAAAACCATAAGTTTCAAAAATAAAACTGAAAAATTAAACATAAAAAGTATACTTTCTAATGAATTTGATAAATAAAATAAATATTGAATATGATAATCTTACTGATAAAGTTAATTAATTTTTTAAGATAATTTAACCAATTGAACCTAATATCTTAATAAAATCTAAAATCTTAATATCTACTATGTCAAATAATATAATTTTGTCTTTTTTTTATAAACATTTATAGATGATAAAAAAACTATTTACTTTGTGTATAATTGGCTTACTACGAATCCATTAAGTCAACCCTATACAAGATGTGTGCATCTTAATCGAATATTTCTTTTCAATTATCTTCTGATTTTATATCTACGACATAGTAATTAATTAAAATAATTAACAACTTAAGATAATAATGACATCTTTAACATTTTAGATAAATGTAAAATTAAATGTAAAGTATTAGTTAAAATGTTTTAACAAATTTGACTGTTTCTAAATGAGAAATCCAAATTAAATTATTCAAAGAGTACAATAGCATATTTTTCTTTCTATATATTGAATTAAGCACATATACATATTTTTTCATTTGCAACACTACTTAGGTTAAAATTATCATAAAATTATATTTAAATACAGTATGTCATAAATTTATTTATTTAAATTAAAAATAT